GTTGCAAAATATTACAAACTATTAATACATTTGTTTACACTTTTTATCCAACACCCAGCGGTCGTGGTTCCTAAAGTAACTCACTTTTAGCAACTACTGTTTGCAGTTACTAGATGACGCATAGTGACCGACATTAGTGTTACACCCGTATTTATTTTTACCCAACCATTTATTTTATTCGAATATTTTAGAGCCACTGGCGTATCCACAAAAAAATACGTCACAACTAACAAGCACGTTTGCCATACGGTGGACTAAATATTAATGTAATACTTCAACCAATTAGTACTGAGTATATGCATTGGGTTCATTTGTGAAAATACATGGCACCATTATGACAATAAGTCCTACAAAACAGCACAATAGACAGAATTGAATTCGCCATATAAATATATGCTAGTTTTGGACTTTCAGGATAAATAGTGTAGAATCTTTGAATAGCATATGTACTTTTTGCCGAGGACCCCCCTCCCCGCGCGCAAAATCTTAAAAATTGACAACCATCCCCCTCCCCCCTCCTTTTTTTTCAGTGCGTACGTAATATAAGGATGATCCCGGACGGACTAAAATTGCAATATGGCGACTACGATAATATTACTGTTGCCCTGTCTAAGGAGTTCATTATGAAAACACAAACCAACAATGTGACCATCACCACAATGATGACGAAATTGTGGCGAAATTATGGGGGTGTTAATTTTATTGATTTACAAATTTAGACCCCCCACCCCAACACAAAAATTTCCTAATCCAACACCACTCCACTCCCCTTTCAGGGTAAACGTAATATAATTATAGTATGGTCTCCAACCAATCGTATTTCTCGATCCATTCACTGCTTGATGTAGAGTGCAAATTCAAACTAACAACCGAAAATGTACTTTTTAATTTTTTTTTTTTAATCAGGAAAAACTACCGGAATTCGAATATTTTTAACCAGGTCTTTAAAATCTTAGACAGGTCTTGGCGTAAAATCGTAAAAGGCATCTCAAAATCGTACATTGTATTCCAAAATCGTGAGAATAAACAGGTGTGCACTGCAGTAGGTACTTCTGCATTTGACCATACTTAATAGTATTAAATAGAAAGGCTTGAGCCTGAGCTAACTACAATTTTCTGCTAAATTAATGAACAACTGAAAGAGAAAGCAAACGATCTCCAGAGCAAGTGCATCACAGCATACAGAATAGTCTTGAAATGAAAGGGAGAGGCATCAATCTATACATAAATTGAATGTATTCTAAAACATGATGTCCTTATTGCTTGATTCACAGCTGGGAATTTATGGGCAAGGCCAGTGTCCCTACCACTTACACTACCGGAGGGAGTCACCTTGATCAACATATCATGGATCTAGTTTCCAGTGTATTCCAAAAACAAACAAACTCTATATATAGCCGCCCATGCTGTAACAGCAATAAAAACAAAGTCTGATTTAATTTTGCTTACTCTAGGTTTACTCGACACATTGAATTAGTAGCAACAAGGGCACACACATTAAATTTGTCACTATTTCAAATAACAAGGCTGGCATACTCACAAACACAAAAAAAAAAAAAATATATGTACATATAAGCCAAGAAGTAGTCAACAACAATAGTAAACATATTCAGAAATCTAAAATTCAAAGTACATAACTCCACTTTTCAAGATAACACTAAGAAACAACTGCCAGTTCCTAGAAATCCAAAATGGTCACATACACTCACATTAACATAAAATGAGTAATGAAAATGTAGAGGTGTCTTTCCGTTGGGGGTTGGTTGAGATCACTTAAAAGTGTCCTCAACCTTCCAATTATAAAGTATAAGTCAATTCACACCTTAATGTGATTCCCATAACAGTTTGATGTGAACTACCGGTACTTTTTTAGTTTTAAAATGTATTAATTTGAGATATTTGTCAACAGTACACAAATGAGTTTTCAGCTTCTCCAAATGCCAAGAATATTTTGAAAAATGCCAAAAAATTTTTAGAACTAATGATGACAAGTCATTAATTTGCAGACTTCAATGGTTTGAGTTTAAGAGAATTATTTATGTGTTTATTAGTATTGGGATAAAATTATAATGAGTTGAAGAAAAATTTCCTCACCAGAAACCTAGCTGACCATCTGAGAAGCTATAAGTGATGCACAGCTCCAAAACCAGGTCTCAATAACAGTTTTTGACTAGGCTGAGTGAATACAATATAAACTTAAGTGTAGAAATAAAAATCTGATATCATACAAAAATCTGGTAGGATTAAAACTGGCAGCTTCAGTAGATTTTTCATGCAAGTTTTCACTCTGGAATCGACGAAACAGTCTGTTAAATTGGTTTCTGATTGTGGATGAGAAATCAATGTTCAACAATGTGATCTTTGTACTTGATAACTAGGGGAAGTAAACTTTATTCCAGTTCAGAGTTAGATTTTTAGCTTGATTACTAGGGGATGTAAACTTTTAGTTCCTAGCAGATTCAACTTACACTCACAGCAATAGTGATTTTTGGGGTATTTTTCTTCATCAAAATAAGACGGCATAAATCCCCTTTCTACACAATTACCTTAAAATAAGAGAAGTGGAAAATAAAACCTCAATTCAGAAAATGTGTATTATTAGGCTTTACAGCAATGGTAGTAAAACAGCTGAGATGGCTAAAGATACATTTTAATTGAAACAAATTATGATTAACAGTTTACACCATACATCTACAAGTTTGAAGGACTTCAAATATTTTTTCAAAAGGTTGAAAAATGCAAAGGAGGTGGGCTCTATTCTTATAAAACCCACTGACATTTAACCTACTGTGTGTTGGGAAAAGTTGAAAAAAAAAGAAGAAACAAACAACTCAAAATTGAGAGTAAATAAATGAACAGCTCAGCACTACAACAGTGATGTAAATTCAAAGGTACAGCTAATGTTATTAACATTTGCTGTTGCTATCAGAAAGTACATTGACAATATTAACTTTCTGTTGGTTCATGACAAGTCAAGATTGGCCATGAATTTTTTGGTTCTAGTAAACTGGTGGGGGGACAAAAGGTGAAAGGTCTATGAAGGATCCCATGACTTAATCACACAAGTAGGTTAATTCAGTGGGCAGTGAGATTCTCACTGATTCTCAGCTCAGAACTGATTGAAACCAAGCAGATTTTCTAAGAAAATTATAAATGTTATGCATTAGAATGGAGAGAGCTATCAATGCAACAAAAAAGTTTCATAATCCTCATTGTGAAATGTTTACAAGAAATAAATCGGTAAAATCATAAGCTGCTTCACTGGGTCTGCAGGAGGTGCATTTTGCACTGTTTATCTTTCAAATATCAAAGTAATATCAAAATTCTCATACAATTCCAATTTTAATATACACACCATCAACTTTAAGATAATATACCTTGTTAAAAAAAAAAACCCAACAACATCGTAAATTATAGTACCTGGAGATTTTCAGAAATAGCACAGATGACAAAGTCTATTTTAACTATCCATCACAAATCACCCTCTGACACCATTTAAAAAAAAATACAACTTCCAAATTTTCGAGTCATGCAGAGGTCTGGGGTGTGTAAGAGAAGAATTGTTTCAGATTGGCAGAAGAATCAAAGCAGTTCAACAAGAAGAAAACAATTGCACATTAGGCCCTTCAAGACCAACTGGTGAGAAACGGGCTGCGAATCTAGTAGGTGGTAGAATACCTTCTTAAAAAAAAAAAAAGTGTTTAGTCAAGAAAGTAAAATAATAACAACTTAACCTTTAAAATATCTCGCAGTGAAGAACTATATGTTATGTTATTTTTACATTAAGGGCTAACAGAACAGGTTGATCATCAATCTGAATCTCACAGAATATAAGATTTACTTTTTCTCGTCTTCTTTTTTTAATTCGGCAAACAGTTGCAAGCATGATAAACAAAAAATTTTTGTTTACCACCAGTGGTGACCATGAGCAGTGATAACGATATAGGTGAATACCCTTGACACTGAAGTGTAAAGATAAGCCAATATCAGACACCAAAATAGTACATGAAATAATGCCATGTAACATAAGAGTCCTAAAATTAGTAGGTGTGCGATAACATTTGATCGACTAAATTGTAAAAATCAAGCCATCAAAATCACACACCAATTCTATAAAACAAAAAAATTTGGAGCATACATATAACAGAAACGTAGAACAGTAAGTCATTTTATGTGTGTACAAATAATTTTTTTTTCAAAAGTTTTTCCAACAATTTTAAATACAAAAATAAATTTCTCTCTATAAATTTGAGGTAAAGCATTCAAAGCAACAAGCCGATACCATAATTATATTTATACATACATATATATATTTCTCTATATATATATCTATATATATCTATAATAATGTGTGTATATGTACATAACACAATGAAATATAAACAAAATCAATAACAATCTTCTATGACAGAGTGATGCATTGGAGGGTGGTGTAAACAATAATGAAATGATAGGAGTTACAAATGTGACAACAGTGCAGACATTGTAAGCACTTCCAACAAATAAGCCACTAAACTGAAGATGTGAGATTAAAAAAAACTTTCACTGCAATGATATTAAAAAGCCCTATAACAATTTCTGTAAAGAAAACTTGTAATTTTTTAAAGAGAAAAAAACAACTAAAAAACTAATTTTAGATAATAAATGAGTTGTCAGTAAAATGTTAAAATACTAATTATATGTTTTTAGACATAAAATTGTACAGTAATTTTTTTAAAGTAAATTTATTATGGTTCATGAATGAATCCTGTTATCACTTAAAATTTAATCAATTTCTACCTCATGCCTAGATATTATATGTGTATAATTTGAATTTTTAAGTCTAGAAAATATAAATCAAGTTTTGTATTGTATACCAATTAATACTCAACTTCAATGAAACCCATTAAATTACAGATCACAGTAAAAGATATTTTTTATTTAGCAGCTGATAAACCAATTTTCTTATGTTAGATTGACTATTAAATTAATTTTTTTAAAACCTAATGCATAAGCAGCATGTTTCAGTGAAAGATATTTACTATTATTTTTTTTTGTTGTACTTATGAATGAAACTTATGAACAAATTTGAGATTATGACAAAAAACAACAACCAAAACCCTCAAATTAAAGATAACGTTTCTTCTTACAAAAACTTGATTGTATAACAAATAAAGGCTTAATTCACCTGAAAGGAGTTTCTCAGATTGAACATAGACATAATGATTTTAAAAAAAAGAAAACAATACATTAACAATGTGAACATTTCAAAAAGCAACTTGCTTTATGGCTACAACTGTGGCATGGCAGGGACAAAAATTCACGGTGGGCAATGATTGATTAAGTAGCAGATCTGACTGATGGCTATGAAAAAAAGCCGGTCTTTAGAGAAACCAATTATATATACACAGAGGAAAAGGATAGCATGAAGGATACGCAAACAAATTTGTTTTTTTCTTCCTTATTATCTTTTTTAAATAATTCAATATTAATCAAGCTTACACACAGCCAACTCTCTATAATCTGTTTTTAAAAAGACAAATTAACATTTTTATACAAGAAAGATTTACAGGACCACGTGTGGGGAAAACAACAGCAATTGAAAAAAAAAAAGAAACCAACTCACAAAAAGTGTTTAAAAAGACAGCCAAATTTTCTTATAGATTAAGTAACAAACTGATTCTATATTACTTCAGAAAATGTTTCATTTCACATGTAAGCCCTTGCTGGCAGCAACAAAAGAACTGTTAAAATAAAACAACCTTGACAGTCATGGACACTAAAACAGCGGTCCTGCATGAAACTTTGACAAAGAAAACTTATAGCTAATAATACACTGACCAACACATCTACACAAATGGCAGCACTAACTGGGAGTCAAACATGAACCATAAGTTTGAAGTCTTATGTTTTAAAAAATTAACAACAAAACTTCATGATTGATTGGCCAAAATGTTAAAAGTGTGGTCAATATAGAATACATGTTTTTTTAAAAAACTTTACCAGAGTTGGGAAGGTGGAGTAATAAAGAAAAATAATTTCTTGTTTTAATAGTCACACTTGACACAAAAAAATATTTTCTCTGCAATTTTCTTCTTCTTTTCTCAGTTGTCTTTTTTTAAGTTATACATATAACATTTTCTCTCTTTATATTTTTTTAATCTATTGGTTTACATGATATATTTTCAATGAAAAAAGAAAACATGTCAATAAAAAATGTGTTCCTGAAAGCACTCCATGAAGAAACAACATACATGTCTTCCAAGAAATGTATTTATCTCTCAGAAGAACATTGAAGCCTGTGTTAGGAGTTGGGTAGCAGATCAAACTCGTCGCTGACAGTCACCATGGGCACGTGAAGGTCGTCTATGACTGGGGTGTTTTTGTGGTCACATAGGCCACACTCTTTCATTTTCCATTCCCAGTCCAGCTTTTGGACAGCATAGAGAGATTCAGCTTCATGGTGATGACGTAAGAGGAGTAGTTGCTGGGGAGATTTAAAAAATAAAATATAACCCACCTTTGTGGTTAAGAACTTGTAAGAAGACTCAAAAAAAAAATAATCTTAATAATTTCTTAAATTAGCAAATTGCATCAAGCTATTTTTTTCTCCTGAAAATGAATATGAAAAGTATAATGAAAACAAGTTTCCATTTTTTGGGAACAATAAAAGAATCTTATCTTAACTTAAATAATTTTCAGTTATTTTACAAATAAATGAAACCCACCTTTATTTTTTCATATTTGTCATCAACATCTTGAATCCATGAAAAAAACTGCCGTCCATTATATCGAGACCGAACATTTTTGTCTCTATCTTCAACCTATCAATAAAGAAATTTTAGTTAAATTTAACAACAATACAAGTACAGAGAAAACAAAATAATGCAGAAACTATATTACTAAATTATTAATAAGTGCAAATATAAGTTGTCGGAATGAAAAAAAAAGGCTTAGGTTGGGTGTGGTGATAAAAACAAATTTTTACTTTAAAATAAATGTGTTTCAACTCTGTGAATTAACAAAAGAGCTACAATTAATAAAATGAAATGGTAATGACCTGCTCCAATTCTTGTTGGTTGTAGATTTCTTCCTCTCTGAGGATTGTACATACACTGAAAGGGAGAGTCTGATTGGCCATAGCTCTAGCTGCACGACCATGTTCTCTTAAAATCTCTTGCTCAATGGACAACATCAACTTTTCCTGAAATAATAAACACTTGTAAATCTTCTGAGATTGTGCTGTCCATAGTTTCTCCATTCACCCCATCCTCCAGGTTCTGAGCCATAACGAATTATTATTTTTTAAATTCTTCCTTTCATTTTTTTGGTAAACATTTGTAATTTTGAGAAACATTATAGGAATAGGACAGTTAAAAAAAGCTTTGAATATTGTGCACTAAATAAATATATTAAATTGGTAATTATGGATTAAGTGCTGTATAAATTTGAGTCTAATATTGATCATAAAGGTTTCAAAGGTAATTTACCCTTTCAATGACATGTTGCAGCCTTAATCGATATCTTTCTTTTTCTTGCTGAATGAAGAATGCTCGCATTGGTTCTGTGACCAAATTGGGTGGAGGTAGCTGAAACCATTTAAAATAATAAAATTGATTCCATTTTTAAGACAGACAAATTTAATAAATCATATGTCAGATAACAAGCAGAACTATAACAAATATTTAAAAAATGTCTTTTGAGGGTTTTGAGATTTATGGAGAGAAAGAAAGAAATGAGTCAGATTAAAATAAAAAATATAATAGGAGAGATGTAAAAAAAAAACAACAAAAAAAACAACAAATCTCCTAAAAAGTGGAAGTATGAGAAAACAAAAATCCAATAAATATTTTTGTCAATTGCTACTTTTTATACTCCTGAAGTAGCTCCTTTCTGGGCTTATTTATCTTTGAACATTGTAGATGAATATTTAACATTTTAAACTTAAAATTGTTGGTAATTTAATGTCTTTTATAAAGTTAATCTATAATAATAGTTCCAAAGTGGATTTTGTCTACCCTATGGGAGTTAAGGATTAAACATTTGTAACAGTGGTTGAATTATATTAAATCCCTTGAAATTTGGCACCAGCTTAAGTGCTAGAAAAGCAACTTGTAGAAGGGTTGGGAACAGTATCTGGAGATTCACAAATATGATGGTAATTTATTTCCTATGCTCATTGCCAACGTACAAGCTATCAAAAACAGTACCAATACCCATCACTACCCACTCTATATAGTGGTGGATATATGTACCTCTTCCCGTATTTTAAACTCACAACGTGGGTGCATTGTCCCAGCCAGTAATAATAATACAATGAATACAATTTTAAAGAAAAATTGATATTTTAAAACACTAAAAATCTTTCTAAAGAAAGAGTTCTTATTTTTGCCAAAAATTAAAAATATCCTGAGCTCCCCAACGATTAGATAGGTTAATGACATCGTTATCACTACCGATGTACTTAACTAGGTTAAAATGAATTTCCATCCAATTATCACTGGTTAAAAACCCAGACACATACCATTGGAACTGATAATGTACTGGTGGCATTGCCTTGGAGAACGTAAGTGCAGTTAACCATCAAGTAATCTTTAAAACCTGTTGGAGGCTTAGGAGCCACATTACACAGTGCCCGATGGCGAGATGCAATCTGTAGAAATTTTTATATAGGTAAAATGATAAGCTGCTAGCATCTTCAATTTATAATTAAAGTTAGCTATTATTAGAAATAAGTTTTTCAAGGCTACATATGTAAAGAGTTTTTTTCTTCTTCAAATATGTCAAATTTTAACTCAGATATTAAAAATACCATGAGATTAAAGTATACTTTAGTTAAATTAAATTCATCAAAAAATATAGGAGCTTGTTTTTCTAATTTTTATATCAACACCACCACACTTTTTACATAAAATGTAAAATACACCAAAAAAAAATGAAGTTTTGAAATGTTGATGTCTCACCCCACAGAATATGTCTGTATGGTAACAGTAGTTAACCTGCAAAATTTCAGCTCATTTGGACAATGTTTAGAGGTGCCCCAAGAGGTTTAAAGTTCCAGATTTTGGTGTAAAATCATTCGCGGTCAAATCTAATACAGCGTTAATGTTGCATTATATGCGAAACTGATATATTAAGTAACAAATTGATGCTTAGTATTGTTTATAATATTAAATGAAACAAAATATATAAATCTTGAATGGTTTATATTTTTAAATTTGAAATTTAAGTAAAAAATTATGAAAAACAAAGTTTTATTCATTTTGTCAAGTTAATTCTTGAAAGAATGTCAATCTGCTTGAAAAATAATAATAAGCAATGCAATTAAGCATTCCTAATATTTATCTTGTACTTTGTACTGTAGGGTAGACAAAAATTTAAAAAAGTTCTTCAAATTTAAATTTTAGCCAGCTGTTCACGATTACACTCTGCAAAATTTTTCCGATGTTTGTCAACCACTTGGAGCAAAAATTGTTTTTGTTCTTCGTCCTTGGTGATACTGTCATTGAAATTTTGTATCAATGCTACACCTCGCTCTGCAGAGTCATTGATACAAGCCAGATTCTTTACAAAATCTGCTGCAACTTTAAAAGATGGTGTATCTGACCATGCTTCAACAGGAACATCTAGAAAACTGGCATCAATGTTGGATGTTTCAAAAAATGTGGTAGAAGCACGCAAATCAACAACACTTTTTGGTAGTGTTTTTATGAGATGCGGTCCACGTTCTGATTGCATTGTCCGAACAAGGCCAGTTTTTTCTTTGTCCGACAAAAGGGTTGAAAATAACACAAGCGTCGACAGTTCCGGACTCAAGTACCACGAGTGACGCACCATCATTTTCAATCCAGTCGATCGAAGAACAGCATCATCATATTCGTATAAACGCTGTATCAACAAGATATCATTCACAGGTGCATCTGCGGTGAGCCTGCATGAAAACCATGATTGAAGATAAACACATATGGTAAACCGATTAAAGCGCTGAATACCTTGTAATTCTCGAGCTGTTAACTGAAAGATGGTTTCGTTGCCTGCAAACAATAGTTCGATTTTCAATGCATAGATTGCTTTCGCCATCCACCTTGCCCTATGTAGGGCACCAGGTCTGCGAATGCTGACATCAACCTCCAACCCAACCATTTGTGCAGCAAGCAGAAGAAATTCCAAATAATCATCACGTGAATGACTGACCTCAAGTTGACATTTGATAAATTCTTTAATCGAATCGGACACGATTATCAAAGGGGCGGATCTGGCTTCGGGTGTGTGGTTTAATTCTTGCCATTTTTCTCGAAACCTCTTAAAAAACAAAATCTCTGGTCCAGTGGATGGTCCAAGACAAACATTGAATGCATCGGAAAGGAGTACTTCCAACATGTGATGACGGCATGCCATCCATAATAGATTACGTCCCAGGGCTACTTCTAACAGAGTGCAAGCTCCATTGAGTCTTCCAGTATTGGAAGCCGTAGTGTCGAAGCACATGCCGATGACCATAGATTCGCACTTCCACGATTTGATATGTTCATATACTGCATCAGCAGCTGCCCGTCCTGACCCGGATGCTAACTTGGGAACACCAAGAAGCTTTGTAGTGCCATCGACAAGTGATGAGAGCAGGACAGGTAATCGATCGACGTTGTTGGTAACCTCTCCGGTAACATCGGGCAATAGCTTACCATCCCAATGAACAATTGATTTTGAGGGAATATAGTCTTCTTTTATACGTGCTGCAGCTTGTTGACGATGAAGCTTGCGATGACGATGCATTGTGCTCTTGGAAAATACTGTGTCAGATGTCGGAACACCAGCTTCGTTGAATGCGGATGCAAGTATCATTGTAGATTTTCTAATGCTGGTGTTCGTTCTGTCCAGCACTGCAGCAACTTTTGGTGATATGATGCTTCGTCTGCGATGTCGTGTTGCAGAATTTGTTTTGCTTGAGGATGCTGATTGGATGACAAATTCTTCATCAGGTTCTGCATCGTCACTGGAATCCCGACAAATGGATGATGTCATTGAATGTGTGTCTGTGTCACTGTCAGAACCACCTACATCCAGTTGCTGTTCTATGTCTACTGCTGACTCTACACTTGAACCTGATGGTAACCCATGGTGACGGCACTGTGATGTAGCATCTTTTGCTGCATCACCAACATCCCTGATAAATTGTTTCTGACGCTCAGCAACTCGTTTTTCTTTAGCAGCAAGCTTTTTGTCCACAGATCCAATTGATCCTGTTCTTGATTTTCATTTTATTCATATATGGCATGCAAAAACTGCAAGTTATTTGAGCCACGATTCGTCTGGATTTTTATGTTGGCCTGATACTGGAATTTGAAAAGCTCTTGGGGGACCTCTAAATGTTGTTCAAATGAGCTACAACTTCACCAATTCACTCATTGTACCCAAGAGACACATTTCAGGGGGTGAGACACCAAATATTAAAAAAAAATTTTTTTCCGAGCATTTCTGGGACGCCCTAATACATATCCTACAATAAAAAAAACTTAATTAAGTTTTCAGCATACACACAAATGTTTAATAAGTTATTTGAATTTATAATGACACGGGAAATGGTTTAGTGTGTAGTTGGAAAAAAAGAGTAAATTGGTAGATTACTCTGGTCATAAGGATAGTTAATCAAAGGATAATCAATAAATAAATATTAGCTGGCGGCATAAGGCATTAGGGTTTAGAATTGTCATAGGAATTTCAAGATTGTGAAAAGGTAAAAGAAAGCTTTTGAGAAGACAGCTACAAATTTCTAGAGGAGACTTTTCATTGATCTGAAATTCAAAGGCCTTGATAAAAAAAATTATAAAAAATTATTAATAATATTTGCTTCATGGGTAGCTTAACTCTTTGTGGTTCCCTCCAACAAATAATAAAAATAAAACTTTACTCCTAAAAATTAACTAATGTAAATAAATAGTTAATCATTGATGTCAAAGACAGTGACGAGCACTGTGGAAGAAGCCCCACAGGAAATAAATCTAGTCACAATTAAAAATAATGGAGAAACCCTCCCATTACAAGAAAAATTATGTTTTGTTGTGTCTCCCCCCCCCCCACTCGTTTGCGAGAAATTGTGGATTAGGTATACAGACGTGAGAGCCAGGACTAAACCATGTAATCACAATAGAAAAAGCCCCACAGGAAATAAATCTAGTCACAATTAAAAATAATGGAGAAACCCTCCCATTACAAGAAAAATTATGTTTTGTTGTGTCTCCCCCCCCCCCCCAATTGATTGAGAGAAATTGTGGATTAGGTATACAGACGTGAGAGACAGGACTAAACCATGTAATCACAATTGTAAAATTTAGTGATCTTATTAATTTCCAAATAGCCACTACATATGAAAATCTAGCAAAATGATGTATGAAAACATACCCTTCTCCTAAGATTGAGATAAGTTTCATAGGGATTCGGTGGCTTTTCCAATGGCTGACTGGTTTTAGGAGTGGCTGTTGTTGCTGCCGATACAAGCATTGTCTGCTGCTCAGTTTTATTTCGCAACTTTCTCTTCCTTGGTGGGAAACTCGAATCATCTGCTGCAGATTCATCTCCTTTTTGGGACCTTGTTGTACTACAGTTGTCCCCTTCTTCTTTGATATCAGTACCACCTTTTGAAATATTCGCAAGATGAAGTTGGAAATTTTTGTTTTGTTTTAAGTCCCTTTAGAATTCTTTATTACCTATTCAAGTCAAACATCGGAAAGTCAATTTACCCAGAAAAAGCTTTCCCTCTTTGTCTCCAAGATGTAACTGAATATTTGAACATTTTTTAAAAAGCTTGTAGTAACCATATTAGAACTGAAAGGATATGTGTCCAGTTATTTAAAATGTGGGTAAGAGATCAAGAATAAAATACTGAGTAGATAATTTAATAACCAAGAATAAATGTAGTCCTTTCAATTTCAAAACTGATGTTTTTTTTATTAAATGAAACCATATGTCAAGCTAAAATAGATGACCAGTTAATACTCATTTCACGCAGTAGAAATGGGAATGTTCTTATAACATTTCTTAAATTTTAATAGTAGAAAAGGAGTAAATATGAACTGAGTAGAACTATAGACTAATAAAAAGTGAAATTATAAAAACTTATTTCATTAGAAATAACTGCAGCGCAAAAAGAGCGCCTGGATTCATGCTTAATATACCTCAGTGGTTGTTCTTTGATAAAAAACAATATATTCTTAGGTATTAGGAATCACAACTAAGCAATGCCGACAATATATTGATTTCACTAAATAAATTTAAATACTGAAATCTGTATTACTAGTTTTATTCATGAATATTAATCGTTGCTACGTTATATCGTGTGGATATTAAGTTAGTGTTGAAGTAGCCTTTTTTTCAGGCTTTAACTAGCAGGCTGCTGCTGATGTTTTTCTTCTTCTTCTGGGTTTTGCTGGAATTTGAAATCCAACCAAGTAGTTGGAAATTGACATAATTTCAAATCCAAAGCCACCCAGCAATCCATTTTAATATGCAAAGCTTACTAATTATTTTTAAATTTTAATTTTTAAATAAATTTTCTGATCCGCATGGGTATTATTTCATGAGAAAAATACTTGATACTCCGCCAGATTGACTTATACACAATCCACGCCTGGATGTGCAGGTGGGTTTTTGCTGCTAGATGTGCACATAATTCACATGTGGATGTCCAGAGAGCAAGTAAGGAGGACAGATCAAACTCTTGAAGCCCTCAGTTGCTTGTGAGTTTTGTTTTCTTGAATTTTAACTCCCAATGATAAACAAAACTACTACTTTCCCCCACACACTTAATTTTTTCTTCAGAATTCAACTCAATTCTAGCAATACATTTTGATGTCATTAAAATTACCTTAAAGATATAAGCGGAATAAAACCTATTGAATGCATTTCAAAGTGAATCAATGCAATGCTCATACTCAGTTCAGGAATATACTAAAAAGTTTTACTGAATGTTGGCCATTTCTAAAATTAGAAAAGAACATAATTTTATGAAATGAAAGTGGTAGGCCTAAAGAGCTGGGAATGCAGGCAGCTGACATTGTAAAAAGATGAGAACAATGACAACATGTTTAAATAATACTTGTGTGAGAAATTTGAAAATAGCACTTTAAAGAGAGCAAAAGATAAAAAACATCAAATAAATTTAAGCAAAATTTTGCTCTTGAAATAAAGAAAATGTGACTAAATTTTTAGCCTTATAAGTAAGCCTTAAAAAAACTAAATAAATACCATTCTTCTCCTTATCTGAAGGTTTTTCTTTCTGGTGCTGCTGCATCATGGCAGTGTGTGATCGTAGAGTTCTTGTGGGCCTCTTCTCCTTGCCTTCATCTGACTTGCCACCTGACCCATCCGTCTGTTCTGCACGCAGGTCACTCTCCCTCGATGCAGACTCCTCTACATCTAAGTTTCTAATGTTTTGTTCTCCTTTTGCCCCCATGTCCGAGGATGAAACACCTGCACCAGATCTAGAGGAAGGACGAGACACACAATAATCCACACCATCCTGGGTGGAGGGGGCAGAACAATTCTGCAGTGTCCTAGGCCCACCATCTTCCACCCCATCCCAACCTTCACTCTCTGTGATGGGATTTAATACATATGGAAGAGCGGGTTTGGCCAAAGGTTTAGAAATATTTGCAGACGGGCCTCCTACTTTGGGTGGCATAATTATCTTAAGAGGAGGTACCTTTGGAGTAGATGGCCTACTACCATGCTCTGATGGAGCAGGATTCGAATCCTCCTGGTCAACTCTAAGAGGAGAATCACAGCTGCTCGTGTCCGATTTGTCCTCCACCCGAGGAATGGACAATCTGTTCATCTCAAAGGATGGAAAGTGTGTCGTGGCGGGAGCTGATGTGGTGGTAGGAACAGATGATGAATTATTAGCAACAGTGCCCCCAGAAGCTGCGATAGCCCTGTCACTGAGACCAGTAACTATGCTTCCGCCTCCCTTTGCTCCCCTGGAAGGGAAAGGCTGAAAGAGTAAAGAGGGAGGCAAAGTCCCTGGTCTTGAGTCTGTGGGTAAATGAGCAGTGCTTGATGGAGTGGACACTGTATGGCCTGTTTGATGGTGGTATAACATTTGCTGTTGATGGTGTGGTAGAAGACCAGTTCCCAATACTGCGGATGATGACAAGGAGCCTGATGATGATGATGAAACTAATGAAAACTGACATGAAGATGGTCCAATGCGGGAAAGTGATGATGTTGTTGACGAGGGTTGAAACGACGATGAAACTCCTGAAATTTCCAGGCCAATACTTGAGCTAGGTAATGTCTGTGCCATGCTAGGTAACTTTGGAGTGTGCCGAACCCCATGATATGTGCTGATTGTCTGGCCAGGAATGTTTTGTTGAGAATGCTGCTGCTGTTGAACTGACTGAGAGTGTTGCTGGAGCCGTGTCTGCTGAGACAATGACGTTGGCTGCAGTGCCTGCTGCTTGACAGTTTCATTAGAAGTACCTAAATTTGAGCTGGTGGCATTGAAAGTAGCTGATGCCTTATTGTTACTGGTTGAAGCAGAAGTAAACACATCACTATGCTCTTCTCCATCACTATTACTGAGATTCTCAAGACCACGAGGGGTGAATGGCTCCGTCACAGTTCGCTCTAAAGGAGCCGATGAGAGTGTGGACACACTGGCAGGCGCCACAGTTGAATCTGGACAACCGTCAGAATCTACAACCAACCCACGATTTAACTTAAGCATTGAAGACTGACTTATTCTAGATTCATCCCCTTTAATGTTTCGAGGACGATCAAACAACACCCTTGTCCCGGTGTCACCTTCTGATGTAACTTCGCACCCAGCGTCCACAGTAAGTACATCCCATTCTGCCTTTGGCTGCTCATCTGTTGTTGAAGAGGACGATGATGAAGACTTTTTGCTCTGAAGCTTCATTAGCAGCCGCGTCGAGGCTGTCAATTTATCAGGTGATGGCGGCACAGATTGCCTACGAACTCCTAGACTCCCTACCGAGCCAACTGATGAAGTTGATGGGCCAACGGTTGAAGAGATTGAAGAGGATGGTCCTGAAGATAAAAGGACTTCTGGTTTAACAGGAATACCATGTGACTTGAAGTCTGAAACAAATACATTTATTCTTATGAATATACTTCAAAACATCTTGCTGGGATATTTATGTTTTGCTAAGCAACTTTCAAATGTTATGCTAAAAAAGCCACCTTAATTAAGCAAAGAGATTAGCAATGTTTTTATTAGAAAAACATTATGGTATTGTTAAAATGTATGACTTGCCATCATCTATGTTACTGCGATCCTCATCTTTGCTTGAAGAGTTACTATCTGAAGATGACCCATCACTATGACTGTCAATGTCGCTGCTGTAACTGCTGGTGCCCCGCAATAATGCTTCAATATCAGCAGAGGATGCAACATTAATGGCAGTCTTACCTTTCAGATTGGGCTGCATGGGATTGGCCCCATGGCTAAGCAGCAATTGGACTAGCTGCAGAAATTATTTTTGTTTAAATCAACTGCTTTTAGACTTGATGAATACAAAGCTTCATTAAAAACTATTAAACCTTTTAAATCCTTTGGTAAATAGGTAAAAAAAAAATTTAATGTTTTTTTCCTCTAAATTGAATTACAAAAACTATTGTTCAAACTGTTTTTTTAAACTCATGCTTTCAATAAAAAAAAATTCTTTTAAAAGGTTAACATTATTCTACCTTAAGAAGAACAACTGATGAAGCAAGGACTGCAGATGAGAAAGTCTCATTCCAGACAGTCATTATTTTTATCAATGAACCCATTGACCATGACACATTTGGAGATTTTCTGTCTTCAATATTAAATAGCATTTCAAATTTAAATGAAATATAAGGACAAGGTATGGTAAACTTAAATTCATTGACAGGACAAAAGATTGACGTTTCGGCAAAGAGTCTTCATCAGAAAACAAGACCAAAAAAAAATAATAAATATATATAAACACACCAGAGAGAGAGAAAATGGAAAACAAATTTATTCAGCTTTTCGGAACCATATCCCCACATGGTATAATGGTATGAATCAAATACAGTGGTACCTCGGTATACGTCCACTTTAGAATAAGTCCAACTTGGTATACGTCCTATTTGGTCGAGAAACATTTTGCTTGGTATAAGACTTTCGTTTGGAATACGACCCGCGTTCGTGCTAGATGTGTCAAAATATGACACATTGCGCAAAGACTAGGATGGATGCACTCTCTTCAGGCTCTGAGTAGGAGGAGATAGAGGAAGCTCCTACTTCATTAATCAAGGAAATCTTTGTTAAATGGATGGATGTCAAAAACTTTGCAGAGAAGTACCACCCCAACAAAGCCCAAACAAGTCATAATAGCATTGTCAGGAATGACCAAACAATGTCACATTTTTTAAACATCCTGAGGAGAAGGCAAAAGCAAAGCTTTTTAGACAGATTTTTAGTAACAGTCAAACCTGGTGAGCCTCAACCAGGGTCAACTAGGGAAAAGAGACAGAAAAAAATAACAGAATGTCATATTCCTGAAGTTTTATTGGAAGCGGACTCTCCTTCAAAACAAAAACATCTCCTTCTCAGCACCATATTAGCAAGCACTTGACTCTTCTCACCAACGTAAAGTGAGGTTAAATTTTCATTATTTCCCCTAAGTTCTCTTTATTTATGTATTTTAGTATTTATTTATGTATTTATTTAGGCATTTTTGTATAGCGCTTACCTTACAGCTCTTTAGTATTTATTTATGTATTTATTTAGGCATTTTTCTATAGCGCTTACCTTACAGCTCTAAGCGCTTTACAATTATTAAAAATATGTAAACTATTTAAACTGCTAAACTAAAATAAAAATGAAAAACTATTATTAAGCAGTGTTTAAATTATTTTATACAATTTATGTCAATAACTGTATAATATGCCAATTAAAATATAATTATTTTTTCATGGGAACGGATTAATTATTTTCCCTTTATTAATTATGGGAAAAATACGTTTGGTATACACCCTGTCTGGTATAAGTCCAAAGATCTGGAATGGATTAAGAAATATACAGAGGTACCACTTTTTTCTCTTACTAATGTTTCTTAATTTCCCTGTATTTCGTCTCTTTTACTTATTACTTAGATTTTATGTATCCCTAAATTTTTGGTCCGGTAAGATTCTCTCCCTTATTTTTCACAGTACCAATATTTATATTCTTCCACTTCCTGTAATCCTACTTCCGGCAAAAAAAAAAAAAAGGGAAATCTCTTTAGTTTTTTTAACTGTGATCTATTTATTATTTTTTTGGTCTTGTTTTCTGATGGAGGATCTTAGCCGAAACGTCAATCTTTTGTCCTGTCAATGACTTCAAGTTTACAATACCTTCTCATATTTCATTTTAAAACTTGAATGCACTCCATCAATTTTTATCTTTTATTCAAATGTAAATGATTGAGTTTTGTTTTAAATTGTTTTCTTAAACATTCATAAGCATGTGCCATGCAAAGTTGTCAAGAAATGAACTATTTTAGTTCTACATAGTGGTCCAGCTACCTTGCGATGTCCACTACTAGATGCATCATGCAAAGGTGTGTCATCATCAAATCCTTGGACATTCACATCAGCTCCTGCTTTGAGTAGGTATTTAGCAACCTTGAGGTTTCCTGAATTACATGCTTCATGTAGAGCTGTCCAACCTGTAGGACACAAAATGTAGCGTGTCATATCAGTAAAAACTGCTTCTTGCCTTCTACTCTCATCTCATGTATTAAGATTTTATCTTATGCAAGCAACAGGTTTTTCAGGACAAAACTAAAATTGATTGGTTTGAAAATGCTCTTTTAAAAAAATTGTTTACATTTTCAAAATTGTGTAAATAAGAGTTTAATCTGTTTTTAAAAGGATACCAACTGCTAGTAGATCAAAATATACATACTATTTCATCCACACTATAAATTTATCCTAATAAGTGCAATAATCATTACTAACCAGCATAATCTTTCATATTTACACTGGCTCCAGCCTTTAGCAGACGTTTTGTTTGCCTGTAGTCTCCTTTCTTTGCAGCCATGTGAAGCGCTGCCTCTCCACGTTCATTGCGCTTATTGACTTTTTTGTCTGCTGGTGTCCGTTTTGTAGAGGTCACCTGGTTACCCGACGAAGGGGATTTTGGTGAAGCATCTAAGGACAAGAAATAATTACTACATCAGCTTTTTGTTTTCCCTTGTACAGGACCAGGATAAAATAATAATTGAATAAAAAAAAAAGATCACAGTGCATGTTTTACAAAATTTAGGGCCAACAGTGTAATAATAATTAACATTTTTGGTAAAATAGGTCAACATAACAGTGAGCTGAAAGATCGGAGTCTTGAAATAATTATAAAAAATAAGGTCTTCATTATAATTGACTAAATAAATATGACCAAAACAAGCCAAAACCTCAGAACTTTCTACACCAGCACCAGATTCACAGAGAATACATAATGTATAGATTTAAAAAAATTTAATTTTAAATTTAATTTTTAAAAATTAACTGATTAGCTACCAGATTGAAAAACCGGCTCTGGCCGAATTAAATCTAGGTCACGTTGACTACGATACAAACGTTGGCGCTACCAGCGGCTCATGGCCATAACAAAAGAAACACCCCACCGCTTCCAGCGGCTTATTCAGTTAAAAGGTCTAAAGGTTGATCAGCAGATTGATTTGAAAGATAATGTAAATTTACGTCTGTAAAATTGGTGATTACAGATTAATCAAAACCACCATGTTATGGTAGACATCGCATGTGTCCCCTGTGTGAACTTTGGGTTACACCAAGTTTGGCTACAAGCCTAATTGTAAATTGTCTTCCCTGAACTGGACATAAACTTCGCATCTCACTGATTTATATACAACTGACTATAAGGCTCTAAGGAACAGATCGAGAGCCCTTGTCTGGACCCTTTCTGGAATAGTCTCCATGAGAGACTATAAATAACCTGACCAACAGAAGGAAATTGAGAGAGATTAACATACAAGCGAGATTGTCACAAACAGACTGTAGATTTGTATATCATATGTGTGCGCACCTTCCCAATATTGTACCAGTACCAGTTCATTGCTGGACTGCAAGTGAATAGTTTTATTTTAGTTTATTTGATTTTGTATTTTAAAGTTAGCTTAAATAAATTAATATTTGTAATTAGCACTAGTTTGGGTATCATTCTTTTATTACTGTATTTAATCAATGTTATCGTCCCTTTGTTGTGTACTGTTTTACAACGAGCCATATTTTAAAATAATAGAGTAATTTCTTTAAACAGTATAATAGTAAATAGTAGTAAAATCCATACTCTATAATCAGCTGGATCAGAAAGCAGAATATGTCTTAATGAAATAAAGTCATTTAACCCTTTACGAGGCAGAGCGGCCGAAAACGTCTTTACCACTTAAAGGGTATAACGCCTAAAAGCATCCGTGACGACATAGTGTTGTTTTCTCGTGACCTCCGGGGCTTTGCGAGACTTCCCATTGTTTAAATCCAGTTTTTCCGATAGCTGAATAGAGTAGGCGCCAGTTACAAGTATTTAATCAATTTTTTTTGTAGTTTAAGGGGTTTAAAAAATTTTTTCTTCTTCGAAATGGATTTTGCCGATTATTTGCCTATTATTCAAGTGATAGCGGAGATTTCGCTGAATTCAATTTAAGTGACATTTAAGTGCACAAATTGAATGTAAATTGGAACTAGATATTAATATTATTAGTAATATTAGTGAAATCAGTGTAGTGAGCAGTGTTGAATTTTACAAACTTAGATTTTGTGGCAGTGTTTGTCAATAATGAATAAATGACTCACAATCACAAACAATATGTTGTTTTTTGCAAATATTTGTGTTCATATGAGGATTAATGTCAACATTTGAGTACAACAATAAATCTGCATTCATTTTCCTTTATTTTGCTTTTTATTTCAAACAAATTTGTTGACTAACACCTTAGATTTGATTTTTTTTGTAATGTAACCCTAAATCTTACTAAAAAACGGAAAAGTGGTGCCCGTTCAGGACATGCAAGAGTAAGTACCTCTGCCCCATAAAGGGTTAAATAGGAATAAGGGGTTAAATTATGAAACAAATTACAGAGAAGAAATCTTTATTTTGATAAAAGAATTTCTGTAATGCAAAAGTTGTTCAACATTCAAAACTAAATTTACCTCCAACACTAGACTCATCTTGCATTCTCATTAAAAGGGCCATCTGCTGCCTTTCTGACAACGGAACACTAAGACGAGATACAGCCCCAGCTCCCCGTGGTGATCCTATTCCCACATGTTCTGGAGAACCTTCTGGCATGTTGGGTCGTTTTCGCTTTAACTGTTGTTGTTGCTGCTGCTGAGTCTTTTTATCTGCAAAATAGCAATATTCAATAAAAGAATTTGTTGGTACTGATAAAATTATCCTCAGAATCATCAACTTAGATAAATTGTAGAAATTTTAAATTTTAACTAACCATCTTCTTCTGTTGGTGAGGTTGGCAATGTTAGTTTTCTCTTGTTTACTTTGCCGTCCGCTTGTAACAATTTGCTTGTGGATGCTTTGTCCTGATGTAATAAAAAAAATTTGTTATCTTTAAATTCTAAGATCATAACATTCTGTTCAGAGATAGCACTCACAAAAAAAAAAAAAAAAAGTCAAATGAATAACAAAAATAATTACTGGTAGGGTAGGACATAAATATTCTAATTTCTTTTTACAAAATTAATTGTAATTTAAAAAATTTGTTATCTTTAAATTCTAAGATCATAACATTTTGTTCAGAGATAGCACTCACAAAAAAAAAAAAAAAGTCAAATGAATAACAAAAATAATTACTGGTAGGGTAGGACATAAATATTCTAATTTCTTTTTACAAAATTAATTGTAATTTTTTAAAAGCTTAGCAAAGTTTACATGGAGGGATTTGTTGCTGAAATATGTGTCTGTGAACATCTAACTGAATTAAGTACCAGTATTCAGATATCTTGGCAATTAGTATCTAGGATTTGTGCCTGCAACAAATCCTCTTTGTGAACAATGCTTTACATTTTTACTACAGTGAACATTTAAGTAGGCTAACCTTGTGAGGGGGAGATTTCTTTTCTGACATTTCCACTACTTCTACCCTGAGTTTCTTCGAAAGTTTGTGGGTAGGCAATAGAACACAACAACAAACAGCACAAAAATTGCTTTACAGGGAGAACCATCAGGTTTCTGGAAGATTTTGACAAAGACTATACAAACAAACTGTCAAGAAAGCCATGATGTGAAGTAGATGAATCTGTGGGTGAAATAAATAATTCACAATTAAAAACATGAGATTAATTTACATTATGCATCCCCTGTTTTAAATTTATCCGTCCATGATTTAAGCTAAATGTTCTCAGTTCATTCTCCCCACAATTGAAGTATAAATAGACTACTAGCCAAGTGACCAACTTAAAATAATGAAAATCGAAGTGGGAAAAAAAATGACAATAATAAACTCCTGGTCTAAGTTAACTGACAAGCTGGCAATATCATTGAATATCAGCCTGGCAAAAAAAAAGGGGGAAAAGTTATGATAAGAAAATACATTTACAAAAAAAGGGGGGAAAATTTAGATAAGAAAATAAATTTAATGTGAGGATTGCCTACATTTGGAAGGTGCTTCTCAAAACTGAAACTTGTCATTTAACCTTTTAGAGATCTACCATTGGGCAGTGAAGCCTTTCTGATGTGCGATTTTATCAAATGAAAAGAATTTTGTGAAATGATAAATTACAAATAGTACTACAGCTCATTCTGTATGGTCTTGTACAGGAGGACTTAGATGAAATTCATGAGGAAAGTCGGGGGGAGGGGAGAGGATAAAACAGTTTACCAGACTAGATGAACAACCTTAGAGCTAGTAGTGCCACTGCTTAGACTTTTTAGGGTAAACTGTTAGGCGTTATATGGCTTACTTCACAAAGACTTTGTAATAGTAAGTTACATTTTCAAGCATGCTCAAAGTTTAAAAGGCCTACCATTCCTCATTCTGCTTATATAAATAATTACACAGAAACGAGAATGAATATTCAACAGTGAAAATTGACAAAACAATTACTAATATATAAAAGGCAGGGCCGGCGATGTCTTCCACAGTATAAAGGTCATGGAGGTTCCCCAGGTCAACTACCGGCCATAGTTCTATTTTCCAAAAGATTTCAAAATTTAGTTTTGTATTTATTTGATTTTTCCAATTTTTTAAAATTACTCATCAGCAATTTGGTTTCGTATATTTTTAATTACATTGATGGGAGTGATTTGGGGAGAGATATCCTCTCCCTGGAAAATTAAGCTGAAACATCCCATTAAATTGCAACATTATTGAATAGCATATGTGTACTTCATTTTCAACCAATAAAAAAAACAGCATTTTTAACCATGACCATGTCCTTTTCCTGGGTTCATCTTGGAGCATTAGTAAGGATAAGTTTCTCTTTTTATTTCTTTTGAACTTTATGTTGAATTTTAATAAAAACTGAATGGCAAATTTCTTTTTTTTCTTATTAACTGTAACGATTGTCAGATTATGCTTTTGAAGTGAATAATGCTCATTGAAGAATGGGAAAGCTAGCACTAGCATTCTCATTGTTCAGGTGAGGTTCAATTGTTGGTCCTGTCACTCTAAGTACTTTGACGTCAATGCTTTTAGGGTGTGACAACTCTTGACAAAACCCATGCCACTAGCTGCACATTTACCATTTATAATTAGATTTACTGGTTTAGGCCATGCCAAAGCTACCAAAGGTTCATTCACAAAAGCTTAAATCTAGATTTTTTAAATTTTATGATTTAATATGCTGTGCAGCGTGCACAACATGATAATATCTTAATCTTAGCCTAACAATTAATGTAATTAAACTAGGATACCTTGAACTTGTAAATTGAAAGTTAAAAAAAAGCATTTAAAATATTATTAAATTATTCAATTTATTCAAATAAAGTCAGACACTGTGCTCAGTGGCCTGTGTCTTCACACACAGACATGTTTATATTAATTATGGCAACTGTACTGGGCATGGATACACTCACTCAACAGTGAGAAAAAAATCAAGAAAATGTTCTGAAAGTTCTCATCCGCCAATCAATAATACATGGAAGAACATAAATTGACTGGTGATTGCTAAACCATCTCCATCCCCAAAATCAAGCAAACATGGATAAATTCATATCGCTTTTCATGTTACGGAGAAAGCGATGACCATGACCATACTCTTCTGGTAATCCCTTATCGTAATAAATGCCGAAATGGGGTCATGACCTACATTGAGTTCATTCAACACATAACAAAAATTATTGTAACACGCATAGGACTAAGACATTTTAGAAGAGTTTAATAACATTCATAACGACGGCTAAACAAACTAGGAGGAGAAAGAATGCATGGAACATTAAGGAAGTGCCTCCACATATCCAAAGCAAGTTCGAAAACAATACAATCGGCTTTTGATTTACTATTCCAACGCAAGCATGGCCGCCATTACCGAAATGATACATCCGCGAACATTCCACATTTTTAGCTAATTTTCTAAGAAAAGTGTTTTAACGAATCGTAACATTTTTCATATCTCCAAGTACTAAAATCACTTAAGTTCACTGTAAAATATATTAAAATCGCATATAATGCGTAATGTAACTAAACATCCGTAAAAAATGTTGAGTATCCACCTTGTTGAGTAAATGGTTTCGACTTTAAGCAGGATTTAACGCTAAACCTGATTGGTGTAACGGACTAAAGAATGCAGTTTCCTTTCACTTTGTAACGTTTCGTACGATTGGTTCTTTTCTAGAAATTTAGATTAAAGGTAGACTACTCTAATTCAATTATATTATTTAATGTCATTGACAAGGCAAAACACCAACAGTAACAGAATGAGATATTTAAAGTATTGAGTGTAGTAATAAATAAATGTAACGGAATGAAAACATACAAAAATAGGCTATCATATATATTTTATACGTGATGAAAATTAACATTAAAAATTGACTGAGAATTGAATGAGATTGACAGTGACGTTAGTTAAAACGCAAAAGTCAAGTGAGTGTCAAGTCAAGTGAATTAAAATTGAGTGTTGTGACAACACTTATTGTGTTGTGTAACTTTCTTTAGTTTTAGTCTTTAGATCTGACTACTTACCACACTTTAACTTAACTTTAAGTTTAGTCATACCACCAATTAAACTGAAGGCCTACCACAACAATCATTACTAATTTGGGTATGACTAATTACATAATTGAGATTCAAACTAATATTATTAGTAAACTGCATTGTCAAGAATAAACAAATCTTAATCAGATGATGATGACAGTTCATCAGTTCAGTAGTCAGTAGCCTACTCAGTAGGCTTCAGTACGCCTAATTTTACATTATTTTACTGAGTGAGGTAACTTACTAGTCTAGAGTAGATTCATCATCATCAGTGGTGCTACAGCCCATGTAGGGACCTGACCTGCTCCACCACATCCTTCCTTTCGGATCGATCAATAAATGGCTTTGCCCCTCCATGCGTGAACCCCCAACTGGTGTTATCCTTCTCTACATCGTCAATCCATCTCAGTCTTGGATGACCTGTGAGCTGTCTGCCCCTAGGCTTCTGTCTGTATATCAATATTGCTGCTCTACAATTCGGCATCCTTTCAATATGTCCTGCCCAGCGCAGACTGCCTTTTTTATTATTGCAACTATGGTTGGGTCTCTGTACAATTGGTATAGCTCTTGCTTTGTATGGATCCTCCAGACAATATCATTGTCTATCACTGGGCCAAATAGTTTTCTCAAGGATGTCCCTCCCAAGTTCTGGTGCTCTGATTTTCTGGTAAAGGACCAAGTCTCACTAGCATAAGTTAGTGGTGTATATTGTCTTCTTTGTTCCCTTTGAGAGGTTTTTGATTCCCACACAGTAGCTTTTTTAGGCTGAAATAGGGACGGTTGTTCACAGGGCTGATGACCAACAAGTCATGTAAAAAAATCAAGTGTTATGAAAGCTAAACCTCATACTACTAGATTACTAGTGACTTTTTAATCTACTTTGTATAACTGACGCAAAGAATACTAATGATAGACTACATTTTTGGCCTAACTTTTACTTTTACAACTGTACTCATTATTCAGGAAACTGAACTCTGAAATGAAGATGAAAAAATTGACTTTTCTGAAAAACTTTGGTTGTAACTTAGTAATTACTTAACTACTGCAGTTTGTCATCCACGGCGCATAATCAAATTTTAAATTATTATTATAGGCTTTTGATAGTAGAATTTAATTAAATGAATGAGTAGTCCAATTAAATTATAATATTTAGAACTTAGTCGGCTAATAATAATTCTAATTGTAAGGACCTCAGCCTACTTAAGTACCCAGTAAAAACAAGCAATGTAAACTGTTATTACTTAATTTACTTTCAAGTCTAATATTAGCTTGAGAAAGTTAATTAAGTTGCCTAGACTATATAATTCATGTCATTATCATTGATAGATTATTAATACTTCAACATGACTGAGAAATGACATATGTTTTTTACCATTTACATTTTCACCCTAAGACTAAGGCCACTAAGGGATTTAAAGTCCTACATAATATAAAAATTGAATTTCTAAGGAATAGATACCAAAAAGTATACAAAATTAAAACATAAGCCTTAAGATACAAAAAAAAAAAAAAAAAAAGGACTTTTAAATTAATTAAAAAACGAAAGAGCCAAATTCACTATTTTGGTACCAGTACTCTCATTATTTCATTTGATTTTTGCCATTTTTTTTTTGGTAATGTTTATTTTAATGTAAAGGTTACTGTCTAATTTAAGTTCTGCAAAGTACAGTCCAACATTCAATTACTATCCAATTTTAGTCCAGTTAGATAAAATTTTATATATTTAGAACCATTAAATTACTGCAGTTTACAAGTAAAATGTAATCATATTTAAATTGCATTGTTCTGGAAAATAAAATTTAATTGATGCATTGCTCTCTTTACAACTGTAACTTTTACTTCCGTTTTTCCTCCAGATGGACAAGGTAGTTAATAAAGCCTTGCATTGTAGTTCCCGAAAACTTCTTTGGAAACATGTGATAATACCAGCTTATTACAGGCATTTTTTACAACAGAGATGTTTTAGAACTAAATGCAGCAGAAACCTTTTGTCACAACTAACAACAATCTATTCTGGCTCTATTTGCAGACATAATATAACGTCAAAGGTATTTGTTTATTCTTGATTTTGTTAATGAATTCACCAATAATTTAATTAAAGAAATTGAGATTTTTTTTTTTTTTGGCCTAATTAAGTGAAATAATTTTTAAAAAATATATATATTTTTATATTTGTTTATTTTTGATTTTTTTAATTTATTCACCAATAATTTAATTAAAGAAATTGAGATTTTTTTTTTTTTTTGGCCTAATTAAGTGAAATAATTTTTAAAAAATATATATATTTTTCTTAATCTTTTTTTCAGCTTCCAAGCAGCATAAAAGAACAGATCAAAGCACTTTCTTCTTTGATTCTGAGATCTAATTTGTTTTTGACCAAAATGCAAATACCGACATCATGTATTGGTAATATGCTCAGCAGATGAAATTAACGTTAAGATGGTAACCTCTTATTTTATGAAATCAGTTAATTTATTAAATTCCACTGATTTCTGTTGTTTAAAATTTTAAGATTGAAACTGAGTCAATCCATGTATGTTCTCCCAGACCCTTCTATCAGACTGTATACTTCAACTGATAACCAGAATCAAAACAAATTTGATAAGAAAGATACGGAAACTGATGGCAAAGATAAAACTGGCAGACATGATGGAGAAAAACCTGAAGATGAAGAGGAGGAAGAAGCTAGGAAAAAAAGTTTGTTCAACAATTCTCAAATTAGCTGCAAATGAAATCAAATGTTGTAAAAAGATCTTTGCCAAGTTAACTAAATGTAGCTGTTTTTGAACATGCATACATTTTTAATTGAAATTATTTTCTTTCATACCCAAAAAATATTTTTGTTGGTCTCTGAACAATATTTAGTTATATAATAATTTACATTTTTCTGAATGTGAATCATAGGCTACTATATAGAAGGTTATTGACTAGATTAGATCCTTTATTCCTGATGTTGCTATGATTAGTACTAGGGTTAAATTCAACTTGATAGCATTTTTTCAAGAATGAGATATCAGGTCAGTGCTTCTAAAAGCACATTGTCAAGGATTGATCAGAAGCATAATATCTGCATTAAATGCCTTTCCTATTTCAGTGGAGTTCATGCGTTCTCTTTACACGTTTATTACTGTTCTTGTGGTTGCATGGATTTTGACCCCAAGTACACGAGAGCAAGATTCATCTGTCAAATACATTTCATGGAGCGAGTTTTACCATAATATTTTATTAAAAGGAGAGGTAATTATGTGAAAATTGATAGTAACATATATATATTATTTATATTAATGAATTATTTTCCCATCTGCACTTTTATTTGATAATATTTAAAAAATAAATAAGTAAATAATTTAAAAGAAATGTATAATGCTCACAATCATTTTATAATTATTTAATTTCTTATATTTTATTAATTGTATAAAATATTATCATTTTAAGTTATACACAAATTTTAATTATCTTCTCCTTAAATTAAATCATTAACTCCTATAAAGTAAAAAAGCAATATGTCACATTTAAACCCATTGAATGAGTGTTGTTGTTATTATTATTATTATAAATAATATGTTTTTCTGCATTTTTATATTTTTTTCAGGTTAAAAGCATTTATTTACACTTCTCGAAAGAAGAGGGTGGTGAGGACATTGCTGTTATAGAAGTTCATGAAGGGGCCATAATAAAAGGCCAGGTAATTATCCATGTGAATGTTCAGTTGATTAATTATGAAATTTGGTTGTCAAGTTGTGGCACAGTTAACACGTGACTGATCGTGTTACTTATTTAGTGATTTTTTGTTTGATGGTTGTAAAAAAAAATTCTTAAATTTCAGAGACAGAGTTATTACATTTAAAAATACACAAAAGAAGTTAGTGATATACATTTCACAAACCCATTGAATTTTCAATTTTCCTTTTGAAAAAAAAAAAAAAATATTAACGGTTGATATGCTGAAATCAAATTTCTAAACTTTTCAATTTAAAATAGCATAATATTGTTTTTGGAGATAATCACAACTATTAATAAATATTTCAGTTAGCCCATGGTCGATATGTGATAAAAATTCCTAAAGGTTTCAACTTTGAGGAGAAAATTAGACAAGTGGAAGATGAACTGGGCATGCCTCTCAAGGAGAGAATACCTATCAAATATGGCTACCCTAAGTAGGCTATTTAATTAATTTAATTTCGACCTCTAAACATTGTTAAGCCCTAACCCTAACTTTAACCCTAACCCTAACTTTAGTCCTTAATATAATTTAAACCCCCTAGGCCTAACTATTCACCCTAAGCTTAACTTACCCCTAACACTACTACCCTAAGTAGGCTATTTAATTAATTTAATTTCGACCTCTAAACATTGTTAAGCCCCCCCCCCCCCCGCCCACCCCACCCCTTCCCACTCACAGACACATATGCTTCAATGATAAATATCTGTTCAGTATATAACAATCTTGAAAATTACAAAAAGATTATCTGTTACTGTTCTGGATCAAACTCATTTATCTCCCTTTTTCTTTTTAAACCCTCTAACATTTTTAGTATTTTATCAGATTTTTCATTAAATATTGAAAAGAAAAAATGATTTTCTTCAGCTCATGGGTGATGCTAGTGATGCAGCTTGCAGTAGGGCTTGTACTCTTTTTCTTCATTCGTCAAGTTTTCAACTCTTTCATGAAAGGAAAAGATGGCAGCATGACAGACATGATGGATATTTTCTCTGTAAGTGTTCTCTGACAAATAGTAATTTTTTTCAAGGAGTTGTTGAATATTTTTCTATTAGTGTTACCCACATCATCAATTATGAACTATTTTAATAATTTGCATTATTTAAAAAAATTTCAACAAGTCTTTTTCAATCATAAATAATGTTACAATATATCTATACTTTTTTTAATCACGTTTTTAAAAGTTAAATAACAGATCAAGCTATAATTTATGAATGATTAGTATATGATAGGTTCTTTTTTTGTAATAAATTACATTTTTAGGCAATTATTTCTGCAATAAATCTTTTAAAATTAGCATTTAGTTTGCAATGAAGGTGGAAAGAATACAATATTATAAGTGGAAGCAGATATACTTAATTACTGTTTTCACAAAATGAACAAAATTAATGTGTAAGAGTTACAAAATTTAGCATTTTGTTTGATGTATATTTACTTTCATCAAGGGTGGCATCCGACAAGCGAAGTTCACTAGAGTGGATATCGCATCCAAAGGTTCTAAAGCTGTTAGTTTTAAGGATGTGGCTGGATTGAAGGAGGCCAAGGTGGAAATTATGGAGTTTGTTGACTACTTGACTAACACACAAAAATTCAAGGTAACTTAAAGTTTTTAGGTCAGACAAATGCCATCAACATACCCAGTGATTGTGAAGGAAAGTGTGATACATTTAAGAAATTTAATTATACATTCATGTTTAAGTTTATACATTAAAAAAAAATTTAACCTCTTTGTGTACAGAATCTTGGTGCCAAAACTCCAAGAGGTGCTCTATTATTAGGCCCACCAGGTTGTGGTAAAACTTTGCTTGCAAGGGCCCTGGCTACAGAGGCAAAAGTTCCATTCTTAGCCATGGCAGGCTCTGAGTTTGTGGAAATGATTGGGGGTAAGTTTTACATATAAATAAATATAACTTTTATCATGCTGCCAAAAAAGAACTTGGGGGACCCAATGTAAACTAATTTTTTTTCCAATTACCTGGGGTGAAATCTTTCACTTCACACAGTTGCATGCATCACTGTGGGTGGGGTGGGGGGATAGTGGAATACACTGTGTGACACTATCTCAAGGTGGTGAAACCATATATAAAATTGCAAATTTGACAGAGCTTACTTTAGTTGGTTTCATAAAAGTCCCCAAAACAAGGTTCCACCAGAGCAGTCAGGCTTTGATGATGTCCTTAGGGATGTCTGAAGGGGGTGACACCAACAGTCTACCGCAGGGGTGACACCAAGACTAGTGACGCCACTAACTAGACATTATTGGTTTGTTCTTAATAGGAGTTGGTGCAGCCAGAGTGAGGAACTTGTTTAAAGAAGCCAGAAACAAAGCCCCATGTATCATATACATTGATGAGATTGATGCCATTGGTCGCAGTAGGGGCGGGTCAGTAAACTTTGCTCAAACTCCACAACTAATTCTTAAATTTTTAAATTTCCATGTCATTTTGATAGAAATATATATATATATATATGTCTGTATATAAATCAATATAATTCGAGGTGAAAAAGAACACATCTTCTTGAGAACAAAATTATGTGAGTTTTCATTTATATTCCACTGAACAGACAGTGAAAGTTACAAATCATCCTCACATTATACTTTATTATTTTGATGCCACAGTTCTGCTAGTGTTGGAGGTGAAGATGAACACACACTCAATCAGCTGCTTGTTGAAATGGATGGCATCAACACCCAGGAAGGTGTCATCATGCTGGCTGCCACCAACAGAGCAGACATACTGGACAAGGTCTGTTAATCTTTGACAGTGGACTGCATTACATTATCATCATCCTGACCTGTGCAATGTTTGTCCTTAGCTGAAAGGATACACTGGTTAATGAGTTGATTATTCCTTTCAATATCGTAGCACCCATGAAGAAATTACCTTCATTACCAAGCAAAATGAATTAACACTATTTTGACCATAAGTTGCTGAATTAAATTTTAAAAATTTAAAATCAACCTTTCATCCAGTCATAAAAAAATTGCTTCAATGTCAGTTGAATGCAATCGTTTAGACCAGTTGGATCTATAAAAATTGTCTTCATCTTCTGACTCATCTGGGATATCAAAATGTTGAACTAATTCAATATCAACAACTTTTATTTCCATTATCTACTTCTGCAACTATTTCTACATCAAATTCATTATTGTCAACACTAACAGCAGACGTAATTGCAGTTTGAAGCTTTGTAAATGGGCAAATGCCATTAACTATAGATCTACTGTCAACAAAGCATTATTGTAAAAATTTCCAAACTAGTGTAAAATCAAGCGCACAGCAAAACAAAACAAGAGCCTGGCACTTCCTGTTTATAAATGCCCTCTCCATAACTCTGTAAGAAGAAGAGTTAGCTTCAAGTGGCAATATTGAACGTGGCATGTTGTTTACAGCGGGATTAGGCTGTAATGCTGCAAATGCATAAGGGCCGGAGAGCCGCAACGTGGCTGAAAGGGATTAAATTGAAGCGCATTTGTATTTACAATATAAACCATTGAATTTTATGCCTAACAGGAGTAATAATACGCAAGTTGTATCCCTAGCACATGAACTGTGTATTAAATTTTATTATAAACTTTTTATTGTTTTAACATCGTTTTTTGTACATTTATCCATTTAGGCTCTGCTCCGCCCAGGCCGTTTTGACCGTCACATAATGATTGACCTCCCCACCATGATAGAGAGGGAAGAAATCTTCACGGTTTACTTAAACAAGCTGAAGCTGGCTCAACCAGCTGAAACTTATGCTAGAACTCTCTCTCGCCTCACACCAGGCATGAGTGGTAAGTTTTTTTTTTTTTTTTTGCAAGACGGGAATAGGTGTAGGTAAGAATTTATGTGTCTCAAATATATAATAATCAGTGACTCTTGCTTTCCTGATCAACTTGATGCCACAATCCTTCGCATACAGGAGTGCGTGGACGATGTAAAGCGTTGGATGACTTGCAACAAACTGAAGCTAAATGAGGATAAAACGGAAATTCTTCTCATCCACTCTCAAAACAAACCTCTCCCTCCATTCGCTCCTTCTTCTATATCTATTGGCAACTCTGACATCACACTCTCTCCCTCTGCCAGAAACCTTGGAGTCACGCAAACATGTCACGAATATATGCAGATCAGCATATAACGAAATTAGAAAAATCAGCACCATTAGACAACTCCTCTCCTTTGATGCCACAAAAACTCTCGTCTCTTCACTCATTCTTTCAAAATTTGACTACTGTAACACTCTTCTCGCAGGCATTCCTCAACACCACATAGACAAACTTCAGAAGGCACAGAACTCAGCATGCAGACTCATTTTTAAATCAAAGAAACATGATCACATTCAACCACACATGCGGCAACTCCACTGGCTTCCAATATCCTCTCGCATCAAATACAAGTCTGCCAATCTTTGCTTCAACTCGTTCACTGACCCTCACTTTCCTGTCTATCTCTCTGAACTGTTGCTTCCTTACATCCCCACAAGACAACTACGTTCTTCCATTGACAGTAGAACCCTCTCAATCCCAAGAACTAAAACTAAGACCATCGGTGAACGCTCCTTCTGCTTCCATGGGCCCACGTTCTGGAACCAGCTCCCCTTCCATATACGTCATAGTGAAACCTCGTCCATTTTCAAAAAGTCCCTTAAAACTCATCTGTTTAGGTCCGCCTATGACCTGTGATGCACCCTCCTTGCCCTACCTCATTTTCTGTTTCGGGTTGATCCTGAAGTGTCAAAGTGTCCCCGTTTTATAGCCATTTTCATTGTTTCTATAGTATAGTAGTTACTATCCTAGTGTGTCATTTTTATTTGCTTAGTTTACATGTTTTAATAATTGTAAAGCGCTTAGAGCTTTATGGTAAGCGCTATATAAAAATGCCTAAATAAATAATAATAATAAAGTTTATTTGAAAAACACGCTTCATCCCCAAAAGCTCGAAGCGCTGTACAAAGTCAACCATATTAAAAAGAGAAATAAAAACAATCTAAAATATACCACATCTAAAAACAGACGCAAAAATATAAAGCTACATACGAGCATACCCAGTCAAAGTCTTTCATCCCGTTTCAACCATAAGCAACACAAGCCAATATACATTAACTGAAAAAGATGGTAGATAGCATCACCCCAGAAGGTTTTTGCGAAATAGATGTGTTTTTAAATCGGTTTTAAAGGACTCCAGTGTCTGGCTGTTTCTGAGAGCGACTGGAAGTGCGTTCCAAATTGTTGGGCCGGCAAATGCAAAAATGCGCTTTCCGAAAGTCTCAAGGCGAACACACGTATCTATATTTTGCCACTATCGGATGAGCGGAGCTCTCCTATGGGTACATAAGGCGTCATGAGCGCTTTGAGATAAGATGGCGCCAGGTCATGTAATCAGCGGTAGCACAAAGTTGCAATTTTGTACTCTATGTGAGCGCGGACCGGCAGCCAGTGCAGCTCCTCCCTCAGAAGTGTTTTAGCGTGGGCGAATTTGCGTTAGCGAAGAACAATGCGAGCCGCATTATTCTGTGCTCTTTGAAGTTTATCCAGGAGCGTAGCTGGGAGACCCACCATGAGAGCATTGCAGTAGTCCATGCGTGATAACACAAATGCAGACATCAGCCACTTTGATGCATCTAATGTTAAGTAAGGTCTGATGTGACTAATCCTGAGCAGCTCTAGGAAAATTGCCTTGCAAAGCATGTTAATATGATTTTCCATAGTAAGCGTTCTGTCTAAATAGACACCCAGGTCTCGCACTGTATGAGCAAACTCAATCTGCATACCTGAGAGACTAAGTGATGTTGTGTGTTTTACAGATTTTTGTTTCTGAGCAGTGGCAATGGGAATCAGCTCAGTCTTTTCATCATTCAATTTGAGCTTGTTTATGGTTATCCAGTGCTTAACTGACTCCACTGTCTCTGTGTCATACTAAGAAGTTGAGGGAACTGAGATGGGATCACGGATTGATGAAGTTGTGTATCGTCCGCGAACATGTGATACAGCATGTCAAATTGCTTGATCACTGCACCCAGTGGCTGAACGTACAAAGTGAAAAGCATCAAAATACTGATAAATGTTTAATGTTTGAGTTTCAACCAAAATGTTATTATCTTTTATCATGAAACTCTAAGATAAGATAAGATTTTTTTTATTGATCCTAATAAATGGAAATCTGTTTTCTTACATTCATCGTGCATAATTTTTCAGTACTGAAATGCTTGTTTTGAGTTTTTCGTTGTTCCTTAAAATTGGTCTGTAGCAAGACATTTGGCGTGTAATTGTGCGGTAAGAAAAACTGTTGGGTTCTGGAGTGAGAACAGAGTCTTGGATTTTTGTTTGAACAGAGTTTTTCCTCTCCAAGATCAGGGGCATACCTTTTGTCTCTAGCTGGTGAAGTGCAAATTGCTGAAAGTACAAAGTGAAAAGCATCAAAATACTGGTAAATGTTTAATGTTTGAGTTTCAACCAAAATGTTATTATCTTTTATCATGAAACTCTAAGATAAGATAAGATTTTTTTTATTGATCCTAATAAATGGAAATTTGTTTTCTTACATTCATCGTGCATAATTTTTTCAGTACTGAAATGCTTGTTTTGAGTTTTTCGTTGTTCCTTAAAATTGGTCTGTAGCAAGACATTTGGCGTGTAATTGTGCGGTAAGAAAAACTGTTGGGTTCTGGAGTGAGAACAGAGTCTTGGATTTTTGTTTGAACAGAGTTTTTCTTCTCCAAGATCAGGGGCATACCTTTTGTCTCTAGCTGGTGAAGTGCAAATTGCTGAAAGTTATGCAGGAATAATTTTCAAGTTTTTACATGAGGCTTGTACTTGTATGTGGACAATGTATATTGATCAAAGTCATTGACTTTAAATTAGCCAATATAACAAATTATTCCAAATACTTAGATAGCCCTTTAGAAAAGAATTGATTCCATTGCATTCTAGATTGTTTTTAGGGTGACTTTTGTACGAATGGCATGAGACCTTCTTATATATTTGTCTAATAATTATCTAAGATTTTTTTGTTAACGCACAGAAGAAAGTCATCTACTAAAAATGTTACTATGAGAACTTTGTATGAAATCTAATCTTAACACTTTTTAAATTAAAGTAGAACCCGGTTATGTCGACAGCCTCAGGGTTTGCAAAAAAGCGTTGAGATAATCGATGATTGAGATAACTGAAAACCAATATGGCGGCAATATATTAACATGTGCTTGAAATTTCTTTATGTACATGATGTGCGTTAATAAATGCAGATACTTAAATTTAAAAAAAAAAATATTTTAAATATTACAGTTATTTAGAGCAAATTTCAAATTTAAAAAATGAAATCAGAATCAACTTTTTAACTTTAGTAATTTTTGAGCTACGAATTTTTAAAGTGCGAGTTCGTTTGGTATTTTCTAATATGAAGCCTCCACATTTTGTGACCTCATTCTGCTGATCGGGTCTTGTGCAATGACTATATAGTTTAAATAAGGCAACGCATCCCCTTATTTCTAAAATATTATTTAGTGACTACTTATTTTAAACTTTCAAATTTGGCACATGACTATTTAATTAAAGCTTTCCCTGACCAATGGTTCAATAGCTTTTGCACATGGCAAACTCTTATGAATGAAACTCTTGACGTAGTACCACGGCATAGCCATTGTGCAAGTGACCGTGAATGGCTGCCCATGACAACGTTTTGCACACGACAAATTATGATAATTTATAATAGACTATCCCGGGTTTTCAAACCTCTAATTAAAACATATTTAAATTACTTCTAGGTTCATTCTAAAACACAAGTCCTGTATTTTGAGAAATAAATAATTTTTTTTAATTATGAAAAACTTGTTTATTTGTTGTTTGGTATTTCTTCTTGCGAAGTTCAAAAGCCGGCGATTGGTCATGGGGATCGAGATAACAGAGGTTAAGTGGCAAATTTGGCCGCCTTTTGGGCTCGAGGTATCAGGGTTCGGCGACATAAAAGAATCAACATAACTGAGGAGAGAATGCTAAGACAAAGAGAGAATTTGGCGGTTCCACTTCATAAATGTCGACATAACATGGCTGGTGAGTTAACCCAGGTCGAGATAAGCGGGTTGGACTGTACTAAAAAATTTGGTATAAAAACTGTTGATTTATTTTCCAGGCGCTGACATTGGTAATATTTGTAATGAGGCTGCCATACATGCTGCCCGAGAGAAGAGTCCAGTGGTTGACAAAAAAGATTTTGAATATGCTGTAGAAAGAGTCATAGCTGGTTAGTGTTTTTGTTGAGTCTTGTTAAGTGATCTTTAAACGAAACAAAAAAAAAAGTTTTGGCAGCAATAATAGGAATCTCTGTGAAATAAACAAGAGTTTAAAAAAAAAGTCATTTGTTTTCAACAGTTTTCTCAGTTTCTAAGAACCAAGATGCAAGTTATTTTGATTTTTATCTCTTCATATTCTTAAAATTTACCCTACATCTAATATAGGAAATACTGCACTCTTTTTGAGCTAATGTTGAATTGTCCTTGTTCTTATAAAAGTCTGAATTTTAAATTTTAAGGTGTGGAAAAAAAAACTCGCCTACTATCACCTACAGAAAAGAAGGTGGTTGCTTACCATGAATCTGGCCATGCCCTTGTCGGTTGGATGCTTAAATATACTGATGCCCTGCTTCGGGTATGGATAGCTTCTTATTGAAAAATGTGCACAACACCATGATTTTTTCCAGCCTGGTCGATAAATAAAATTAAATAGAAAATATTTACTAGCTTATACTAATTATTGACCAGTGATTTTTAAACTTAATATAAGTTTGGACTCGTAAAACAAAAAATTGAAAAAAATGATGAGTATAAATTAAGAAAATTTGTACTAGATATAGCCCGCCAAACATTGGCCACAGCAATGCGTGAACTTCCTATCTACTAAAGTTACTTGACAAAACATGAACTCAAGTAATGCACATTTAAGAATCTCAATTTTTGCTATACCCCTTCCCTCCATGATACGTCACTGCACACTTTTTATTTCACGCCCATGAACTGTATTAAATATTCTGATGTCCCAACCTCTTTTTAACCAAATATTTTGTCACCATACTTTAATTGAGACGATTTCATTTTCTTAAAAGACAATATTACGCACCAAACGCAGTTGCGTTATTAAAAAAAAATATATCATTTAGCGAAGTTATCGTGAATTATATTTTGCATGCTATTGAACTCATTATTGAACCATACTTTCTTTCAAAACATTTAGAATTATTTGTAATATACTCTCAATACCGAATTCCCCGATTAGGAAGCAGTCTATCAGGAAGCAGATCATGAGTCACACCAGAAGCTAATATATATAAGAGATACTATAGCTTATTATTTATACAATGCAAAACATTTTTAACTTTTGAGACGGTAATTAAAGTTAAGAAATGCAGAACAGGTACAAAAATTCTGCAGAACTGTAATTAAAAACCATGATCATGTGCTTTTATCCTCACATTGTAACTTCCGTTTTTTAAATATCTATGTAAGAATGAAAGGCAGAGTGAACAGTGACTAGAGTATGCAGTTAATTAATTTTTTAAACGATATCTCTGTATTCATGAGCAATATAACCTGACACGCTTACCATGTGCTGTAAAGAATCTGTTATAAAGCTTACTTTAACTTCAGTAAGGTAAACATTCCAAATTTGCCTTAAGGCAAAGGATTGTCAATAAAAATGTTTTCTGTTTTTTTTCCTTCAGATTTCCATTATACCACGAACCAACAGTGCCTTGGGGTTTGCTCAGTACTTGCCATCTGACCAGAAACTTTATACTCAGGAAGAGGTAAGTGGTGTTGGTGGTGGGTGAGGGTAGGTGATATTAAAATGTTGTGCACAAATTTCAAACAATAAATAAAGGTGTTTGGAAATAGTGACTACCTCTTTATTATCTTGGTCACAGCCAAGCATGAGAATCCCATTTCTAATTTATGAAACATCTGAGTCTTAAATCAAGCTTCATTTCATGAAGGCTGGAATTATAAAATTATTAAAACATTTTATTTTTTTTTAAAGATTCATTATTAAAAGAATCCATTGTAAACAATGTTGCCAGAGAGCTTTTTCATCAAAATGCTGACGACCTAGTTGGATACTTTGGAGAAAATTAAACTTTCCCTCACTTAAACTTTGACTCACCTTATGTGTCACGACCAATTTTAAAACAACTTCATCCAATATGACCTAACATGAAAAATCTGTTCAGTCCAGGTTTAACTGAAGTTCTATTTATAAATATTGTGTACATTTCTTTTTCAGCTGTTTGAGAGAATGTGCATGGCCTTGGGAGGTCGAGCTGCTGAGAGTTTGATATTTAACCATGTTTCCACTGGTATGTAGAAGAGCAGTAGTTTTACGGAAAGCTTAAGAATGCTTTTAAGGGTCTCCTCCTGGGGACATTTTGATTTCTTTCGGCACACTGGTTGCGGAGCTCTGATGAATAGGTCACGTTTGATAAAAATTTACATTTGCATTAGCAAATCCTCTGATTTCAGAATTGTATTTTAAGGCAGTTTTGTGTAATTGTAGGCCCTGTTAAGCAGATGTTTGAATGACTCTAATATGATCTTCCAGTCACTAGCATATGAAAGGGGAAAAGAAGGCATGTGCACAAATGTACATTGATAATATAAAGTATCTGGATTATAATTGTCTGCACCTAACAGTTAAACAATTAACAACTCTTGGATATGTATAAATAATAAATTTTTGTTTAAAGGTGCTCATGATGACCTTCAAAGGGTGACAAGGATGGCTTATGACCAGATCCGTTCCTTTGGTATGAACGCTAGAGTTGGCCAACTGTCCTTCCCATCTGATGAAGAAACACCAGGCCAGAAGCCTTACAGTCAGCGGCTGGCCGCCACCATCGATGAAGTGAGTAGTTCCATTGAGACTTTTCATCATCACTTTCTAAAGAATGGGAAGAAATTTTTCTGGCATCACCCATAGTCACTGTTATAAATATTTTTTCTCTGTATTAAAATTCAAGTACATCTCAAATACCATTGATAATTTAAGAAAAATAGATGGAGCAATCTTCTCCACTACAAAATGTCTCTGCATTTTTCTGTATGTTTCATTCTGTTTAGTAAATACCTGAAAAAAATGAACTTTAAAAATTTTGTTTTGTCTAGAAATAAATGAGCATTGAATGATTCAGGGATTGCAAAGATTTATGTCAATTCTTTAGCTGTTCTCAAATATTTATAGCAAGGTTGAAGTGTTCGAGAGCATTAGACCTCAATATCAGGTTTAAAAAAAAATAATTGAAGACCAGTTCATAAATTTCTCTCAATCTCTTTTCATCATAACGTAAGCTATTTTAGTTTTTGCTGAAGAAGGCTTTTTTCTGACACGATTATTGGTTTGTTTAGTCTTTTTTCAGGTTTTCTCCTACCTTATGCTACTTATGTCCTCTTGCCTAAACTGATAGCAGTTCCCCCCTCCCCCGGCTATTATCCTGTATAAATACTTGTAACTTCACTACTTGTAACTTCAGTGGAGAAGACATACCTTAAAGGCAATATATATATAATAATAATATAATATGTAAGGTAAAAATTGACGGCACATCAGGAGTTACATTTTTTTTTTAATATAGCTCATAACATAGTTATAATCATAATCATAACACATTTCTGAATGATTTATTCAGGAAGCCAGGCTGCTGATTGCTAAGGCCTTCCTCCACACTCAGTCAGTCTTGCAGAACAACAAAGAGAAGTTACACCAGGTAAAAGAAATTTGTTTTGTTGTCATTGGAGTGATTGTTGAGTTATTGGGGGCTTGAGTTGTTGGAAAGTTCATGCTGTTTAATATACAAATTTAAATATTCTGAAGTGTTGGCATCACTATTAATAGACGGCAGTGGGCAAAAAAGCTTTACATTTGCATCAGTTTCCACACTAAACAATAATAAATGAAAAGCATAGCTGCAGGGTTTAAATAATGACTATATTTCTATTTCAATCTATTTATCCAATAGTGTGGTGGTTTCTAACTTGTACTTCTTGAAGCCCTGGGCTCTTAGTGCACTTCTCAGGGGCTCCATGGATATAAAATAAATAAAAACTGAATAAATCTTGAAAGACATTGGTGGAGCATAAGGGGCTCCCCCATAGATTTTTAAAAGGGCTCTGCTAGACTAAAATTATGGGAACCACTGCAGTAGAACATTCACAATCTAATAATAATAATAAAGTTCATTTCAAAAACACGCTTCATCCCCAAAGGCTCGAAGTGCGGTACAAAGTCAACAAAAAACATATCTATAATTTACCACATTTAAAACAAACGCAACACTACAAAAACTAATTACAAGCATACAATCTCAAAGTCTTTCTAGCCATTTCAACCCGGAGCAACACAGAGGTACAAAGTCAACAAAAAACATATCTATAATTTACCACATTTAAAACAAACGCAACACTACAAAAACTAATTACAAGCATACAATCTCAAAGTCTTTCTAGCCATTTCAACCCGGAGCAACACAGCCATTATTCATTAACTGGAAAATAAGGTAGACAATCATCCCAGAAGGTATTTGCGAAATAGATGTGTCTTTAGATCGGTTTTAAAGGACTCCAGTGTCTGGTTGTTTCTAAGATCGACAGGAAGGGCGTTCCAAATTGTTGGACCAGCAAATGCGAAAGTGCGCTTTCTGTAAGTCTCAAGGCAAACACGTGGTGTCGAGAGTTTGCCACTATCGGATGAGCGGAGCTCTCTACTGGGTACATAAGGCGTCAGCAGCTCTTTCAGATAGGACGGCGCCAGGTCATGTAAGCAGCAGTAGCACAAAGTTGCGATCTTGTACTCTATGCGAGCACGCAAAGGCAGCCAATGCAACTCTCTCAGAAGTGTTTTTGCATGGTCGAATTTGCGTTTGCGGAGAACTATGCGAGCCGCATTATTCTGTGCTATTTGAATTTTATCCAGGAGCGTAACTGGAAGACCCACCATGAGAGCATTGCAATAGTCCATGCGTGATAGCACAAATGCAGACATCAGCCTCTTTGTTGTATCAATTGTTAGGAAGGGCCTGATTTGACTAATCCTGCACAGCTCCAGAAAAATCGCCCTGCATAGCATGTTAATATGACTTTCAAAAGTTAGTCTTCTATCTAGGTAGACACCCAGGTACCGCACTGTTTGAGCTAACTCAATACGCACACCTGAGAGAGTAATGGATGTCGTGTTATTTGCAGATTTCTGCTTCTGAGCGGTCGCAATGGGGAGCAGCTCAGTCTTATCATCATTTAATTTGAGCTTGTTAATGGTCATCCAGTGCTTAACCGACTCCATTGTCTTCTGTGTAATACTGAGCAGCTGAGGGAACTGAGAAGTGATCACGGATTGATGAAGTTGTGTATCGTCCGCGAACATGTGATACAACATGTCAAACTGCCTGATCTCTGCACCCAGGGGCTGAATGTACATCGTGAAAAGCATCGGGCCTAGGACCGAGCCCTGTGGTACTCCGAATTCGAGATTAGATTTCTTCGAGGTCAAGCCGTTTGAAATAACTGACTGGACCCAATTAGTCAGATAAGATCGGAACCAACACAGGACGGTATCAGTGAGACCGAACGTTTGTATCGAAAGCTGAACAATCTAAGCAGAAACTGTTAAGTTGGAACTCTAAAAAATATTCTTGCGTTGAATTCTTATTTTTTCCTTCATACAGGGCTGAATTCTACGGATTCATTCATTGATTGAAATATCGCATCTTACCTGTAACTAATTTTTTTCATTGTTTCAGCTTGCTACAACACTGATAGAAAAAGAAGTCTTAACCTATGAAGAGATTGAGAAGCTCATAGGTCCCCCTGTCCATGGTAAAAAAAATATCATTGAACCCCATGGATGGGAAGGGATAATGCCTGAGGTTAACAATGGGAATAAGAACAAAGGTTGAGGTCATCTCCTGAAGATTTTATGGAACATCATCAAGTCATTTGTATTTTTTCCATCTGCTCTTTCGGACAGTGTAAAATTTTATAGACCTAGAAGATTTCATGAATATGACAAAAGATTTGAAGTGGCATTCATAAAAAGAATTGTTGAAATTAATTTGTAGCATTAGAATATTATTTAAAATGATTTAAATTTAACTATAATTATGTGCTATTCTAATTCTAAGTGACAGAAAAATTGTATATTTTGCAGGCATTATAAACTTTTCAAGGTAGCACAAATCAAAATCTGCACAATTTATGAATCAGTGAAAATATCAACGGTCAAGCTATCATAACATTAAATTTTAGAAAAGTGAAGAAGTGCTAAAAAATGAATTGCTGTGCCCATCATGTGGTCATAGAGAAGTTATCAACCAAGTGAATGTTGGAAAAGGGTTTGCCTTCATTGTTATTTTTGTGCACATGAAAGATGGTGTAGAGTTCAGCACCTTTTGAATGAAAATTAACCAATAAAGATCACTTTCTGTAGTGAATTTTTAAAAAAACAAACATGATTTGTTTGTTTCTTGTGTTGACATCATGTTAAAAAACAAATTAAATATCATCACGGTTTGAGAAAATGTAAGTTTTAAGCATACTGGACTTATTATTAATGACTTAACTATCACCAGAGGAATATGTTTGAACTAACCAGTGCTATAAATTGCAGGTTAAAAGTTAATGTTATCAATAGAAGCAGGTCTGTATGTGGGCTCACCTGTTGGATTTTGTAATGATTCCTATTACCGGTATATGAAATCTTAATAATTAAGCTAGGGAAAAGCACAATCATTCCCTCCAAATACTTTTAGTAAGGATTGATATTTCTTTAACTTATGTCAATACTTAAAATTCACATTCGGAATTATTTGACAAAATGAAACATTCAAAATTATTTGACAAAATGAAACATTCACAATTATTTGACCAAACAACACATTCACAAATGTAAGGTGAAGAAATGCAAACTTTTATTTGAAATTTATATGGCATCATTTAAAAAAAAATACAAAAGCATTCTCAGAATTAAAAAAGAAAAAAGGCATTAAGTATATAGATATGTCCCAAAAAAGTTTGAATTAAAAAAAGATATATTTGCAAAAAAGCATTTTAAAAAAAAAATGAAGAGAAATATGGTATATAAAAATGAAAACTTTATAAATCAAAACAACTGGTGTAATGAATGGAAAAGGATAAAGCCATGACTTGTTTTATAATTACTCAGAAATAAAATTAATCTACTTGAATTTACTTCAAGCCCTTTTTTTGTTTGTTTTTGTTTTCATGTTAACTTTAGCATCCTTTGAAGCATAATAATAATTCAAGTTTAAGAATTTATTTTTTTCACACACCGATAATCTTGTGAATCCTGGTTCAAAGCTTTCATTGCCATCCATACATATTATCTAACCTTGGCAATTGTATCTTAAAATTCTAAAAAATATTAAAGAAACAAAATATTGAACAAAGTAATTAATGATTAATAGGCATGTGAGAATTGCTTGCTCATTTATCAACATAAGAAGAAAACATTTTTAGCCAAATGAATGCATAAGATGTCTATCTGTACATTTAAAGACCAGCTTTGTCATTCAAATAAATTCTTTATTTGTGTTGTATTGTTTATCTTACATCTGACAAAAAATATTTACAAAATGCACAGACCTACATAAATGAATTTTTTTTCTCCCTGCAAAATGTTTCTTTTTTTAAAGTTCAAAATGGTGAAAATTAAAAAGACACATTGGGAAAATAGTTGATATATGAATTGAATATATTGGTAAAATTATATATTAATATACTTTCAGAAAACTGAAAGCAATCTGTACTTAACAAATATTAGGATATTATTCTTAATCAAATAATGCTAGTCAATCAAAAGTAAAACAAAATCAGTATGCATAACACAAATGACTAAATTAGGAAATATTTTATCAAAATTACCTGATTGCTGAAAGACAAAAGGTATTCAAGGTATGTTTTTACACATTCCTACGGAAATATCTATAACACAATATGTGTTCTTGTAGTCCTCTTTCATATTGCATTCTTGCATTCCCAAACTAAAAATAGTTGTGTAATAGCTTGATCCAACTATCACCATCCATACTTTTCAACCATCCGCTGGAATGCTGTCCTGGCCTCTATTTCTGAATATGCTGTTGCTGATTTGTGCACATCAAGACTGGCCTTTGGGTCACTCAAGATTTCTGATCGGACTTGCACAAGGATACTCTGACGATTCAATGGGAAGTGTTTTAAAATTAAGACTCAAAAAAAACTTCTTATCGGCTTGGAAGGGCATATCTACAAAAGTACAGCTCCCCTCTAATAAATTTAGGCAATTTGTTAAGATGAACAAGTTTATTGATTTTTATGATAAAAAAACCATGAGCAACTCCCAAGGTTGTTTCCAATGAATTAACCCCTGGGTAAACATAAAAGTTAAAAGGAAGAAATAAAAGATAGGAGCCAAAATGATCAATAAATTGATCATGGGCCCTTAAGATATAGAAGAAGAAGAAGAAGAAGAAAGAAATTATTGGTCATCATTCAAGAAAATGATCAATTATAATTATAACTTAATATAAGCAAATTAAAAATTAAGGTTGAAAAAAAAATTTGAATGCAAAGAATTTAAAAATTAATTGAAAATAAATCACAGATAATTTTAAGATTTAGGAGGAGAAATAAAATTTAAGAGCACGAATAAACTCATTCATTTCCTCATTTCAGAGTTTGAAGTAAATTATATATTTATGGTGGAGAAAATCTGCAAATAGATCTACGATAAATATAAAATATTACTAGAATTTATTTAGAAGTTTCAAATGACTCATAATATTGGTACCTAATGCTTTACTATAAATGATCAAATTTAAATACAAAGAATAAATAAATTACCTCAATATCATTGGTTGGGCACCAACCAGACTTGGTTAACATTTGCATACATATGCTACCACCAATAGTTACATGGCCTGTGCAAAAATGAAGCTCCATTAAATTGACACATGGATACATTTAATAAAATTGATGTAAGCGTAAGCGTCATTTGTCATTATCAGTTATAACATGTCAAGGGCTTTTTTTGTTTCTCTCAATGGACTAATTTGTTAACAATACTTCTCTAAATGGACTAATTTGTTAACAATACTTCTCTAAATGTACATTTTTAATATTTTAAAGTTTGTAGCGAACATCTTTATCTTGTTTCCCCTAAAATAATAATTATTTAACCCTATCAAGATGCTAGGAACACCCTGGCATGATCCCATGGTTTTTAGAATCAACACCAATGTCAAATGTAACAGGTAAATATATCAAGACCACTTTCTTCAAAAATACATTATGTTTTGGTGTGCAAAATAAAACAATATTTTAATGCTGATGTGATATTGATTGGTAAGTTTAATACTAACCTGTCAAAAACTGGAACCTTGGTTTAAGAACTCTGATAAATGGAGGACTGAATGGATAATCCGTTGGAAATTGCATGTCCAGTGTTATAACAGGCTGTGAGTACAAAAGGGATTGTTGAGGGTAAACAAAAGTGACTGTTCTTATGAGTAAGAGATGATATACAGCACTACTAACTCTACTTATCAAAATTACATAAATTATGGGAGATTATGGGAGGTTATTCTCAACATGATGGTAGAAAACAGGGCATTTTTTATAATTAGACCATGTGATAGTTAATTCTCAATGCATTATGTCTGAAATCTTACTTTAAAGAATAACTTGCACATATTATGGAGAAACATGTCAATGGTCCAATATATTCCAATAAAATTGTGATCCATTTGTTCCTTTTTACACTGCTTAAATCTTAACCTTTTTTTTTTATAGTTAAAAAAAAAAAAAACTTATGGGTACCGGTAGTGCCCGGATGCTGCATTATAAATATTTTAATAATTAGATACAGATACTTTTTATTAAGGGGCCACAGACAAATTCATTCAATGGTACTCCTTATGTACAACTCTGATGCACACGCATGCACATATTTTCTACATATACAAAAACATCTATCGGATGTTTTAAATATCTAGCTATAGTGTGACATTTCATTTTTATATTAGTATTAGCTTTATATAGATTATCTTATTATAGTAACAGGCTTGATCTAAGAAAAGGACAATAACAAACCTACATAACACTTGAAGTTTTTCCATACCTCTTGGTTATACTTCTTGGCATAAATCACCAAATCTTTGCCCAGTCGTGTATCAGTTGGTATGTTTGTAAGCTTCACTTGCTATGGAAAAAAAACAACATATTGACTACCACAATAAATTCTTTGAAAAAGTAAGTTCATAAACAGAGCTGAAACGAGTCAAGCTTCAACTTACTTCAAGATAAGCATTGTGAACAAGCTTGCATGATAGAGACCAACATTACAAAGTATCTCATAGCAAAACCATGATAAAATAGTTATGCATATTGTACATTTAATAATATACTTAAGAATAAAAGAAGGATGAAAGTCCAAATTGTCTCCTGAAGTTTATGGCACTACCTCCTTTACAAAAAGCATTTGTTACAAAAAAGAGTTTTCCTACCCAGACAAACAGGTTGTTTTCCACAGGAGATGCCAAAAACCCAAATTTCGGCCCACAAACACTAATATTTTTTAAATCTGGGGAAAGAAAGATGAAAACAAATGTGTCAAAAAATAATAATTCAACAAAAAAATCATTTAATCTTTAAGCAGCATTAAGTAAGAGCTATATGGCTAGCCCCATGTTTTTATTTTGGGCTCAAATAAAGGTTGAGTTTAAGAAAGTGATGCCATAAATCACTTGAATTTCAGAATTTGAATAATTACTAATAGTTTAGTGATCTTGTTTTTGTGTGGTCTGAAAGTCTTAGTTGTTAAGAAAATTTTAATTTAAAAACATGATCCCTTGGTTCATGTGGCATACAGGCAAAAGGGCATACAGTCATTTATGGACAAACTTTGATTTCGGGCAAGTTACCTGACTGTTCTGTTGCAATAAGGGGAAGCATTTATCTCCCTTACTTAGTCAGAAAGAACAATAATGTTCTTGAAATTACTTTAGTGTTCTTATTTGTATTTCATACAAGTGGAATCAAGGGGTGAATTTCCTCCCAAACAGAGATCACACAAGTGTGGGCAGAAGATTAATTTGATGGGAAATTTATTTCAAATTATAAATAGCTTCCATTGATTTTAAAATGCTTTTTATTTTACAATTTAAAATTGTCAAAATACACCTGGCAAGCATAGTCTCACTTTTAAGTAATAAATTTCCCATAAGAGCAATTAAGAAAAAGTATTCATGTGTGTTAAATATTTTTAAAAATTCCCTTTCAGAGCCTAATTTAAATAATTAAGTAAAGTTATTAAGTTGTTTCCTTTAATTCTGCAAAGATCGGAGATTAAAAAAATCTGTCAAATTCAATAGATGATTTAAAAATAAAATATATATACAGCAATTCCCCTATAACAGACGACAGACGCTGTCAATTTCGTCAAGCTAACACAAACCTCATTTGAACTACATTTTCATCTCCATCAAGCATCAGTGTAGAGCAATTTTCAATATCACATAATCTAATAAGCTTGACAACAATTTATACAAGGGATCAATGAAAGAAGTAATACGTAATAAAATATAACCTTTAACTAAACGTTTTACAGCCATTTCAGAACCATTGCCTTTGAAAAATCTTGTTGCCAGTTTTTCTTCTGATTCTCTACTGAAGATAGGATAAAAACTATGATTATTTCAAGTTAATTGATTATTTAAAGCATTTAATTTTAATTGTTGCAGCTTTTTATATATTAGAGAAAATAATTCTTCTTAATTTGTGATTTATGAAAGTAAAATACCGATACATTTTAAAAAACTCGGATGTTAACTTACACACCTTAATAATCATTTGGGAAGAGTTTTGACATAAAGATTTTGCATTTAAAAAAATTAAGTTTCCTTCTGATAATTGATATTTGCCTTAAGATCCATAAGCAAAATTGAAATTCCATGTTTTCAAAAAAATGATAATTCCCCCATAATTCAGGTAAATATTTCTTCATGTGAAAATTTTGGTCATTCTTTACGTTTATGTTTCATTTGAGATGTGAATGAATATTTTTGTGTATATGTCATTTTCAAACAAGCCATTATCTATACCACAAACTGAAAAATAATATACTTTTAAGTTTTTGAACTCCCAACTAAAAAATGTTCACTCTCAAAAAGTGATGTTTGCCTGTAATATTCAACATTATGTTTAAACAAAACCAAAAAAAAAAAGAAACAAATTTGCTAAAATTTAAAGCTTACTCCTCAGAAACTAATTTAACATCGTCCTCCTGGGCATCAACATCGTCTGCTCCATAATAACTATCAAAGTCATCAGCTTCATCTGCATCATTTTCTTCAACCTCCATATCTTCATCTGCTGAGGCAGTGGCTTTAAAAGTTTTCATTGAAGAGACCTAAGTTAAATACAATTAAAAAAATAAATAACTACTTTGTAATATCTGCTTCAATGGGTGTACATTTTTTTATAATTTATTATAACTAGCTAACAGATAACTATTTCTGCCATTATTCACATACATTAGTCATCAACAATGTGTGTTGAAATAGGGTAATATATTACTCTACTGGAGCATTTTCAAGCATTTGTTGATGACACTCTATACCTCTATAACAATGTCTTTAAACGAATACCCAGGCACACTGAATATTGGAACACAAACACTTTATGTATGACTTGGGTTCTTCTTTATTACATTTATCTGTTACGCATATTCACCTGGTAAGAGTATCTCCTTTAAACTACACAGTCTATCCAAAACACAGGTGCTATCACTCATGAACATCTCATGACAATCTCCTAAGTCAACTCTCTCTTCCTTCCACTCTCCCTATCTCACGCCTCATACACTTGTTTATTATTCTATTCTTGTCATCCAATGATCATTCAGACACAATAATAACACCCACAACACAACTCACGGACCAAAACAATGTTCATACTAACAACAGTGATTCTCATTCCCTTGACAAAGGGGTCGTATTTTCTTATAATGTTCATCAACAATAGGGTGGTATTGTCAAATGTTTATTAACAATGGGGTCGTATTGTCATAATATGTTCAACAACAATGGGGTCCTGTTGTCATGTTTTTGGACATTTAGTCAAACTTAAAAGGTTTTAAAACAATCTAGTTCTGAGCCTGTCAATAGCAAAACAGATAATTTACCAGAATAATGTGGATTAATAATTTCTTGTTATCGATTTTATAATTTTAATACCACATATGACAATTCCACTGGCTACAAATATGATTAATAAATAGATAAATAAATAAAATGAGATAAGATGCTTTTTTAGAATCTTGTTTTGATTTCATTGCACATATTGTTTTCAGTATGAGATTTAGTTTTGATGTGCTTATTTTAAAATTTAGCATATAAATTCATTATTTTAAAATTAAACAAAACATTCCTGTATTATTTAATTATTAATTTAAGTTATCCATTTGGGTATTGCTTACCAAGTTTATGCTGGCAGAAACTTTTTCTAAGACAGCTGTAATACTCTTACAGTCATCAAGATTGCAAGAGTCAAGGACATATTGTAATTGTTTTTGGGAGCCACTGTGGTCACTCCAAATATTCTGGAAATTAAAAATTAAAATAACTGATGGGAAAATGGCGATTTCAAAGACATAAAAGTGAAAGCTTATTAATAATGATAACGCAATATACTCTAGGTTGTTTCAGTAATAGAATAAAAACTACTTAAGCATTGCAAGCTCATATAAATGACAACAAATAAACTTTAAAAACAAATTATTTCATTATCTCTTTATAAAATTACAATTGAATATACTGTTTACACTTGTTAATATGCCAGTTTGTTCATAAGACTAACCCTTTTAATTTTGGCCAGGATAAGCCTGAAAATTCTGTATCACACACATAAGCCTACCCCATAAAATAATATGTGAGTGGGCGGAATACTGCTCTTAAGATAAAAAACATTATTTAAAAAAATAATTAAATAGATACTCCCTTCATGTGTCTACGGGTGCATACAGTAATCATACTAAACATTTCCAAAAATAAAACTTCCACATTCTAAAATAGTAATTTCATTATTCAATTTAGGTCAGCCAGGCCAATTCGACAAAGTCTATTTAAAAAAAAAAAAAAAAAATATTTTTCTATTTTTCTACTTGCTAAAGTCAACAGCTCATTAAAAAGTTCTGTTGCATTTATTAATTACATTTTTCTTCATTGTTTTTTTTATAACAGTAACAGAATATAATTATAAAAAATTTCTTATAACCCCATGCCACATATTTCTCTGAAATATATATACTTTTTTAAAGTTCCGTTAATGAACAAGAATATCTGGGAGTAAATATGTCTGATAAAAATATTACACGTCTTAAATCATGTTATAAATAGAGTTTTACAAACCCATGAGGGACTATCAGAACTAGGGCATGTGATGTAAAATTTGAAACTGTTCCCTCGTGATTCCAGATGTATCTGATTATTCTTCTCATCGTCATGGGTGACAACCAGGCTACAGCCTGATTTGGTCAGATAATCTGCTGCTTCATTTTTTAAAGAAGAAATATCCATGGTCTGTGTTGTATTGGGACGTGAACTCCCTACTAAAAAAAAATATAACAATCACAGAAAAGGAATAATTTATTATCTATCATGCCAAAAGAAAATGTAATTGAAATCTTAAATAGTTTATATCCCAGAGAAGTATAGAAAATAAGTCAAAATTAAAAGCCTCTAAAAGTCTTTTCAATATTCTTATGCTTGATCAGTTTCTACAAAATTAACTTTACCTTCACTTCTTGATCAGTGTGAATAAAGTTAAACTAATCAATATTCAAGGATATTCACTCTGCATTCATTCATATACATTATTTTACAGAAGAGCAGTGAAATAAAAACAATTTCACAATATAAATAAAACTTCCCAATGCAAATTCAAATTGAGCAAAATAACATTCAATCATTAATTCTATAGCCTATTGCAAATTCTTGAACTTTGACCTGATTTAAACTTACAAATTATTTTATTGAGAAGTATAAAACTAAAACTCCCCGAAATCCATTCTTTGAAATATTTATTTTATAATAATATTGCTGAATGAGTTCAATGAGTATGAGTTGTTTTTAAAATCATTTAGTTCTAGGAAGTAGGCATATGGGGATGCCTACGCCTACAGTTACAGTTTCAATCTCAGTCTCAAATATAGCCATAGGCATATACTATATTTAATCGGTGCTATACTATAATATTTTTTCTGAGAAAAGTAGATTTCAGTTTTAACCTCACTTCAATTTCAAAGTCACTTGTGTTGCAATGCCAATGTAATCATCAGTCTCCTAAGTTGCAAAGGATAATACTGATTTCAAATTTAATCATTAAAATTGTAACTAATTATTAATTATTTTTTAAATATTAATATTATAATTTAATTCCAGCAAATCAAACATGTAATTTATTTTCATTACTACAATAGTTTTAGATTTAGATTTCAGACTTATAGTTACATTTCTAAGTCTATATTAAAATTAAATTATACATTTAGTACAGTAGTAGTAGGCTTAGGCTTAGGCCTAGGCTTAGGTCAGATTCATTTTAAGTTTGTTTTACAAAGACAAAAGGTTGAAAAGTGTACACTACAGATGCCATGACGGTAAATGTAGGCCTACAACTACAGTTATAATAAGTTATATATTTACTCGGCGCATTGAATTGATAATTAATTTAATTATTGTTGAGCTTGTTTTTTTTTTTTTGAATTTTATCTTTGAGTTTGAGTGCTGACCACTCACTGTTGTTTTTGATGTCGTTGAGTGTTTGTAAAGAAAGACTACTAAAGAGTATTAAAAGACTAGGTCAAGGTAAAAAAAAAAATAATTAATTTAATTATTGTTGAGCTTTTTTTTTTTTTTTTGAATTTTATCTTTGAGTTTGAGTGCTGAAAACTCAATGTTGTTTTTGATGTCGTTGAGTGTTTGTAAAAAAAGACTACTAAAGAGTACTAAAAGACTAGGGCAAGGTAAAAAAAAAAGACTTAAGTCTTAAACTATTAAATTAAAGTTTAGTAAATAAATACTGTGAAGTGTCAAGTCTTTAAAGATTTCTTTTTGTTCACACTAATGCAATGAGAGGAATATCCCATCCGCGTACCGGTATCGAATATAAACATGTTTCCGGAAATAACCTTTTTTTCCTTGGTAATTACCGGTAATTCGAAATAAGTAAATACTGCGTTTGCGTGGTGCCGGGATATATAATTATTTATTTAGTAATTTCTTAATGAAATAATAATTTTAAATTACTATTAGGGCTACGGAAAAATAGGTAAATACCGGTAGGTAGATTTTCACATTTTTGTGTTTCTTTGGTGCTACTCAGTGCTACAGACTATAACTATAGGCAGGAAAGAAGAACAAAACGCCGCACCTTTAAATAATTACTTTAATAATGAAAGTTGATGTTGTCTTAAGTCTTAACATTTTAAAGTACCGGTAAAAATCGGAATCCAAATGATGAAAATGTGTAATATCTTTATTCAAATGTATAAGTATAGCTCACATTTAAATAATTTAATAGTTTTTTTTTTATCTATCTTCTTCTTCTTCTATATCGCGACAGGCAGTTCCGACTCGTAACAGTAAGAACACAGTACAGGAACTGTTCATTCCTGCCAAACAGGGACTGGAACACCGTACAAGCTTCCAAAAGGAACAGTTGAGGCGACAACACTTGACACATTTGCGTCTTTTGCCTCAAGCCTTCCAACCCCAATTTCATGATACTCTCGCTGAGTAGCCCTTGCAGCCAGTGAAATATCCCCTTTCAATACAACTCACCAGGCACAGTAACATTGCAAATCCCCTCTACATACATGAGCCAAAATGATCCATACATGATCGTGGGCCCTTATATAGAAGAAGAAGAACAGTGTTAAATATAATCGCATTGGACAGTGTCACACGCATTTAAAAAAAAAAAAAAGAGCAACCAAGCTCATTGGACGAAGCCTCAACCAAGCTCATTGGACGAAGCCTCAACCAAGCTAATTGGCCGAAGCCTCAACCAAGCTCATTGGACGAAGCCTCAACCAAGCTCATTG